CCCCCTGGCAGAGGGATTGGTGTCCCTTATGTTGCAATTCCGTCCCTGTCTAAGTTGGAGGGATGTTCAGCACATAATTGCCTTCACAGCCACAAAGGTAACGCTGATAATAAATGACCATGATATATCAGTTATCTGATCTCTAAGTGTCTATACTTTTGAAGCTCCTCTGTATATCAGAGCTAGAAAGCTATATCTGAATCTCACGCAACCCCTAGTGGCAGCTCATGCGCCACACTTTGGGAATCCCTGCTGTAAAAGGTTAAAGATAGTGAAAACATAGCTATGTGTTTGGCATGGTTGGACGACTCTCATGGTCGTACATCAGCTCTGGGTTTGCTTATATCCTCAACTCTTAACTTTTGACCCCAATGGTGAGGTTTGAGTCAAAAAGTCGTTTGTATAAGAAATGTGCCAGGTCACTATGAAGATGACCCCTGCTGAGTGACAAGTCGATAGTGATCCTTCTGCATATATATCTGTATGTAAGTGTGAGAGAAATTTAAAAATATTGTGTATTCATTGTTTTAACAGTGTGACAACAATGCAGACTGGAAGGTAAACGGAGCTGGTTTCCTTCATAGCCACCAACATGGCTTTGGACTTCTAAGCGCCTGGAGACTTGTCAATGCAGCCAGTGTAAGTGCACTATTAACTAAGAATCACCGAATGTTTTTACTTCTAATATTTTGCTCTTTACAGGTCTGGGAGTCTGTGCCATTTCTTGTATCTTATCAGAGCCCAGTAATACTAGAGGCACAGCCCATCCCTTCTTACCCAGATGAGCTGATTCACACTTGGAACGGTATGTGTCTGTTCCTCAGTGATTTAACGCTGCCCTGCTTATCTTGCTTTTTCCATCTGTTCCATCATGCTGCTGAAGCACAAAGAGAAAACACGTACAAAAAATTAGCCCACGTTTATATCCTTTGTACACAGAAACACACATAGTACTAGGAACAGCAATACCTGTAAGAATGGGCAGTTTACTCTGGTATACATTAAGACCAGAGACGTCCAACAGAAATGCAGTGATTTTCTAAAGATTCTAGGGTCTAAATAGATTAGAGAAAACTAATGGGAATCATGTTTAGGAGAAGTTCTTAAGATTACATAAACATTAGCCTTCCTCAAAGATACCAAATACAAAACAGGAGTATCACAAAACTCCTTATAGACAATATTACTTTGAATGGGTAGAGTAATGATATCCTTTTTAGGAGATTTTTTAACTAGATGTAGGAGTATGAAATGTCAGGCTTCTACTAACCAGACTGTTCCCTCTGTTCTTCAGTATCTGCCTCTGACCTGAAACAATCCGTACTGGAAACATTGGAACATGTAGCTGTGACTGTGACAGTAACACATCCTTGTCGTGGCAACTTGGAGCTAGTGCTGGTCTGTCCCAGCGGAATGATTTCAGTCATCGGTGCACGCCGAGCCATTGACAGGTGGATATGCACACATACTGTACATACACTACATGTACTCATGTTTAATAGATAACATATATTGTTTGTTAATACAGAGAGGGTAAATATGGGAATATATTAGTATTATTATATTGAGCTGTACCTGTCAGTGTGACCATCCTGTTGTACGTGCACATAGGGACTCCTCAGGTTATCAGGACTGGACTTTCTCCACGGTGCGCTGCTGGGGCGAGAGAGCAGAGGGCCAGTACACCCTTAAGATATCTGACCACAGTAAGTGTTTCTACACACAATACAAAATGTAAACGGTTTTGAAGGAGGACCCTTTCATACCATATAAATAGTGACTTATATTTGAGACATTCATACATTTTCTTAAAGGAATTTTGGTGGAGGGCTGTTGGTAAAATAATAGATCTGTTTTAAGCCTAAGGTGCCCCCTGCTCCTTTTCCTTTCCTTAATGACCATTGTCCATAAACCCTCAGACTACACTAACACTTGACCTCTTACAGAGGACATGTCTTCTAAGAGGTGTGCCTCTATGGGGATGTTAAAGCAGTGGAAGCTGACTCTTTATGGCTCCTCTATGACATTCAACGAGGTCCAACACAGACAGAGGTAGGACCTGAAAGATTTTCGTCTTTTTTTGTTTTTACAACAGATATAGTAATTGTGCATTTGAGACTTTTAAAAGTATTACTTTGAGGTACTGAGTATGCTCCTGTAAGATGTTTGTTGAAGGGCCCTGCTCAAGGTTGAAAAAGAAATAGATGCAGCAAATCCAGCTTTTTAAAATTTTGTATAGCATGGTGTAGCACTAGTTTTAGGCTCCAATTATTAACTGCACAAGGAACCAAAACGTACTTCTAAATATTCATATATTTTAATGTAGATGTTATTGGAAACATATTAAATCCATAAAATAAAACAAACAGTGAGTAGTGTGCCACCATGGAAGTCTGAATACTGACCAGCTCTGTTTTGATCTGCAGGCTGGTTGAGGAGGCTATGAGTGGCAAGTTTCTGGATGACAGCTTCTCTCTTCCTTGCCCTCCTGGTCTGAAAATTCCACCGGAGACTGTTAGCCCTTTTACCTCCAACAACTTAAAGGTATATATTAAGTTAACATATTTTTTATATATATTATATACATATTGTATTGTTTTATTTACCTGCATAATATTTAAAAAAATACAATAAAGTGAAATAACTCTGGTTCCCTCCACCCTTTCCCCCTGCCCCCCCCACACAATAGTTTTTGCTTCTGTTAGGCTGCTTCGCACTCTTCTGGTCACTCTACTACACCTCAGAGGTCATATTGTCCAAACTAGACCTCCGGGACCTTTGTTGCAAGCGTGAGAGGAAAAGAGGTCAGTGTGTGAGAAGGAGACGTCAAGGAAGACGAGTAGAGGACGCAGTCAGAGAGGAGAAGGAAGTGGCAGTGGACTCAAGGGTGGAAATGCAAGGAATTTTTAATTCTGAGGAACACATTTCAACAGAGACTGACTGGGGACAAAGCAGTGAGGTTTATGCACTGAGTCAGTTTGGACACGGACAGTAACACAGTCTTTGGAACAGTGACGATGAGAGACGGCTGAACTGTATGTCCAAAGGATGTAAAGAGTGTTATTTACCACAGGCCACACACAGGCTCAACATTCTGACTTTATACAGAATACTGTGTGTTTAGACACATCTGTGTGAAAGTACTGTATGTGTGCAGCAAATGTCCGCTGCTAATGTTGGTGCTGTGCTCCTCTGTAGCAGTATTTGGTTAGAGTAAAATGCACAGAGTTTGAGGAGCAGTAACCATATGATTGTTTATAAAGGGAGAGGGGCTTTGTTCATGGTTGATTGTATTTTTGGATGGGGACTGATTTGATTTTTTTTTTTTAATGTCTTGCAGTGTGGATACATTTGAAATGATATTTTCTAGACAGGAATTAATATTACGGGATGAGATTATATATATAATATGTATATAAGTATGTACATATGTATTTATTTATAGCCATTTTATTATTTGTTAATAAATGACAACATTTGTAAGACTCTCCACTGTGCCTTTAATGTACTGTAACACCCATAATTATTGCTACAGATGTTACAGTCACAAATACATGCAATATTTATTGTAGGAATGTGAAAATGTGCAATAAAATGGTTTCTGTAATAAAATTAATTATTACTCCACTTTCTCAATATATATTTTGCGATACAAAATGTGGGCTCAATTTTTGTATAGTGTGTTTTAATGTTACCATGGTGCTGTTGTCACTTCACTTTGTCATCATAATCTTATCTGACTGTAGTGCAGATGCACCTGTTATTGGATTTGATATCCGTGGAGTAAACAGTGGTCATAGAGCTTACAACGGTCTAGGAAATGATTAGAGCAATTATCAATTTAATTTTGAAAAAGCACAATTCAACATTGAGGACTATTGACTGTGGTGGGCCCAGGAAAAGTGTCAGGCTCAGTTCTTACCAATATACTGTTCAGATTAGTAAGTCTGGTCAGATGTCATTTTTATATCCTCATATATAACATAACATAGCATATTAGAGTATGTTGCAGGTGCATCCGTTTTTAAAGGTGTGTGTGTGGGTGTGTGTGTGTGTGTTTATACCTGTATCTCCTTGTCTGTGTCTTTTCTTCAGGGTTGATTGCTCACTACCAAATACTGTTGGGATTTGGTCCTGGTCCTCAAACTTTCCCGTCCTCTCAGAAACCTGACCTACAGACAAGGTCACATTTGTTAATGTAATGTACACTGTCATTTCCCAGCCTGGGATCAATAAAGTACATCTATCTAGATATCTTTATCTATTTATATCTATTTATTACACTGTGTTCTCAGATACTCAGATAAATCTTAAATTTCATCAAATCTTAACTTTTAGTTGTACAACATTAAATATTCGAGAAAGACAAAAGTTCCAATATGAGGAGTAAACATTCAAGAAGTCATATTTTTCCTGTTCAAGTGAACAGAACACTGAAAATATCACATTTATATCAAAATCAGGATAACGTAACGTAAAATTCCAATAATGAATAACGAATGAATTATGGGATAGGTAAAATACCAAAGACTGCAGGCAGTGAGTTGTTTTCTGAGATATAGATAAGAATTCCTACTAGTTACTTTAAACTAACATTTATTTAAAGTAAATTCCTTCTGTTAAAAGTTATCGTTTACAAGCTCATCTATAACTATTATTAAAATATAATCATATAATTCATAGCATGAGAGCAGCTAAGGATAGAACACGTTTCTCACCGTTTTTCTGCGCTTCAAGCCGAGGATGCAATGCTGGGGTTTGTAGCGGCTCACAAAATTAGCATTAGCATGGGCGATATGTTAACGGTCATTCTTTTTCCAATAAACGATCCGCCTCACCGATGTAACTCGTCCCCTTCATTCACTCACTCAGCTACGGACTCTCAGCAAGTTAGTGAAATGGTTAATTTCCTTCTTTCCCGCTGCTGATATTCAAAAGGACGGAAGAAACACTGCGTCCGCACTTCACCTCCACATTGACAAGCTGGACGTGACCTGTGAAGCTCCTGATTGGCTGTTGAGGTCTAGACCTCCTTGACCCCAAGTGGTGCATTCAAGTATAATAGGACATTTGGTGTGTATAATTAAAGATTGGTTGAATTCACACTTTCTTTTAATCGGTCTCTTATTATGTTTTTGTCACCGGGACTACACACATGTTTTAATTTAAAGTGTCGTGTACGGTGTTCCATGGGCTTAAAAAGTTTGATCAATTTCACATCGTGTCACCAGTCGACCGCTGTGATGTGTAATTTGAGAGACAAAATTAAAATAAAACTGGTTTTATTTTAATTTTACAACATCACCATAATACTGGAATTTCGAATTACAGTTTTAAAAAATTCAACAAACTAAAATAAAATAAATTTAATCTAATATTCAATATTTATTGAGCAACAGAGAGCCGCAGCAGAGGGATGAGAGAGCCACATGCACTTCTTTCACAAGCTCTCTCTCTCTTTTTCTCTCCTTCTAGTAGTTTAATAAGGATACATATGTCAACAGATTAGAGAGAAACATTTTATTAAGTAACCAATGCTTTATTATTTAAAAAAAGAGTGTAACAGTAACAAAGTTACAGGCTTATGGATCGGTGATCAGGTGGTTTTACAAGATCTGGCGGGGTCTTCCATAGCTCATCCCCCCTTGACTGGCTCCCTTATTGGACCCCATCTGTAGGCCAATCACACCTTTCCCTGCCTTCAGCTGCTCGTCACTGAAGTCTCTCTTGTTTTCTTGCGCTTTCCTGCAACACACACACACACACACAAATAAAGATACTAATAATACCTCTAGTGTTCCACTGAGGACATTTATTCCAGTTTTTCCACGTACTTGAAGAACCAGTTAGGGTCCCCATTGTACGTTCCCTCATCCTTGGTGATGGCCAAACTGCCGAGAGCTGACAAGGTCCTTTGCACAGCTGCCAGGTCCTTACCTTCAACAACAAACCACAGACTCTATATAAAAAATCATATAGTTATCTAGTTTTTTTTGTTAAAAAGAAAAAGAAAAAAACGTAGAATGGAGTTTTTTAATGACTGCTTGACTGTACAATCTGAGACTCATCTCTGAACTGGCCAAACAAAATTATTATTATTTATACTAATCTGACATTTTTTAACCAAACAAAGGAGAGAGGTCACTGAATTTCTCTAACCTTCCCAGAGGTCTACAGTCTGGAACATATCTGTCTTGGTGACACCGTACTTTTCTGCAGCACTGAGAAACTGGGAGATCTGCTCCATCTGCTTGAAGGCCATGGATGAACCCTGGATCTTCTTTACAGGTTTGTCTCCAGAAAACAGACTATTAATCAGCTCACTCAGGACCTAGGAGGCAGCAGGGATATTCAGAAGAAAAGGAAAAATTAAGTCTGGAAGAGAAACACAGACAGTGATTCTCAATCGATAATCCAATCTCATTTAATTGTTCTGAAAACTATTACTTATTTATTGCAAATTATTTTTCTTTGTTAATCAATGCATAGTGACAGTACGAACAGATCCACTAGATGGCAGCAGATGGCTATGATAACTTGAAAAAAGAATCAGCGCTTCTGAAGGAAGTCTTTCTACAATTCCTGGGAGTTTATCAGTGTTGTCTTCAACAGAACAGGCCGAGATTTTACAATAAATTGTGAGTAAATATAAATTAAAACATATTTATATTTAATTTCATATATTTTTCTGAGATTTTTGTTTGGTGATGTGCTTGGTGATGGGTTTTTTTTTCCAAATGGAAAATATGTGCTGTGGCTCAAAAAAGGTTGGGAAACACAGAGATAAGGCATACTTACACATCCGTCTTTCAGCCATGCTTGAAAGCCTGTTTTGCCAGGCTCCGGCCTTCCCACACAAGTTCCACACTGACGACTGATCCATTCCACCAGGATCTGCTCCAGCTCAGTGTCATACTTGCTGTCTATTTTATCCTGAACCTGGCGACTCAGGCCAAATGATGGACCTTTATTAGCCATGCCAACAGGCTGTAAATGTATGGAGGGATGAAAGCAATAAGAAGCAACGATTATTGAGAGAATGCAAAGGGTGAAGAACAAGAAACAAACATAACAAAAATAATCATCCCAGTCCAAAGTACTATTGTTTGTGGAAAATACAAGAAAGCAACCAAGTTTCATATTGCGATGTAAACATTGTCTACAGAAACATGCTGCTGTGCAAATATTGTTGAGATCATTTGCTGAGGTCAATCTGAACCATTGACAACATGCGTGACAACAGTGATTTGTAAGCATCCATGATAAGCACATCATTGAAGTTCTCTGTCCTGAATAGTGCCATTGTAATTGTGTCCAGATCTGCGTGCATAAAAAGTTCATTTTCAACCTTACCTTTTTTATACCCAGACCTAAAGCAAACACACACTACTGGCAGCACATTATACTGTAGCTGTTGTGTATAAAGGGCCAGCAGCCAAGTGAACAACCTGTATCAAAACACATAGACTATCCAACCTTTGCAGCCATTGTGATGTCTGGTCACTTCAACCCCTGTTCCTAAGGAGGTTTAAATGTTAAAGGTTTAAGCCGGTACTAGAACATAGAATTAGAACTTCAATATAAAAGTGTGTGTGTGTGTGGGGGGTATCTAGCACAGCGGTAAACAATAAACTAGGGATTTTTAGTATTTAGTTATTCATTGTCAAATCCAAAATTAGGGTTATATTTTCATATAAGATATTTAGAACCAGATTTTACACAGAAAGTCAAACTAAGTAGTACTGTACTTGTACTGAATGGAAATTAAAAAACAATCCTTGTACAGATATTAGCAAAATCTGTACTAATTATAGCAGAGTTAGAAAAAAGAAAAAATGTCCCAATCTGTAACCAGTTTGAACAATTCTTATATTTCGCACCTGTCACCATGTCCTGTTATGTTGGTCATAAATGTGTTTAATTCAGTTTATTACAGGACCAGAGAATAACAACTGCCTAGTCTTACCACGTCATCGGTTTTCTCCAATTTCGTCAAAATGTCTAGACTGCCTTCAATGAAAGCAACACTAAACTCTGTGGCACTGTAATAAAAATAACAAAACATAACCTTCAACGATTCAGCTTTATTGTCGATGCATACACCATTATACCATGATATGGCGGCTTTTTGTTTTCCCTTGCTCAGTAAGAAGACAGGTGTGAGCAGCATTGGTCAAGGAGTGCTGTCACGACACAAGCATAAAGAGTGACCAAAGTTTTCTGAGGAACGGCTTACTGGTGATAATCAATATTGATGTTGACATTAACGGTGTGGTCCTGTTTCCTGTTAACTAATGTCTTGTGACATTGTTAATGATAAAATGACTGGTTATGTATAATGTATTTTAAAGCACATCAATGTGAAGACAAAACCATCTACAGCTTTACCAAACAGTTACTAAACTGAATTTACCACTTTTATTTGTAATGAAACCAGCTTTTATATAATACATTACCATCATCTATAGAAAAAAAATCAAAATTATTAGAAAATAATGCAACAAAAATGTTTATATACATATATTAAGTGATTAAGAGTGATACTGTACTGTTAAAATAATAAAAACATTTCTGAGCAGTGAGAGTTTTGCTCTGTGACTGACTTTAAAACCCTTCTGAATACAAACGTTTGCACATTTAAAACAATGAATGTATTTCTGCATTTCTGTCTCCTTTAAAACACCAAACGCAGCCTTTAAATACAAAGGCTGTTGTTGTCTTTAAAATGGAGCTGAGGGCCTTTGTGTCGAGGTATTTCTCTTACCACTAAGTACAACAGGAAAATACAAAGACATTTCCCTTTGAAAAGTGTGAAATATAAAGTATAACATTAACTTCATAAGTGGTCCGTACGTTACAGGCTTAGACTTGTTTTTCCAGTTAACCACTTATCGCAGGTCTGAACTATCTCCAGAGATACTCTCCTGAACATGACTGTCGCAATTATTAACTCAATCATTTAACAGAACATAACCAAACTGAGTCACTCGGCCAGCGAGGAAATATACAGCCCGCCCACGCTGAAAGCTGATTGGCCTATTAGGCAGAATCGGCAAATCAGGATGAAGGTATAGATACACACCGTCCATAGACAGCCACATGAAAAAACAAACACTCCACACCCACATTCGAACCTACAGTTGGATTAGGGTGTCTGGTCCCCATCCCTAATCGTCATGTTTCTGGGACACATTGAAGCCTAGATCTTATGGCTGTAAGGCATGTACGCTTACCACAACTGTTATTGTGAACTGATTTCTATACTAACCTACTTCATATAAACCGACTATAGTTTGACTAAAATGTTTGGCCCGTTTTGTATTACGAGATATTTCTATAAAAGTAAACAAAAAACTCTGTGTTAATGTATTTGTACCGACAGAACTGTATTAACCCTGTAACGAGCGTTAACTCAGTGTAATGCCGTGTGTATGCTGCCACACCACTGACAATGTTTATGTTATGATTCTTCCACAGACCAGCGACGAAATGCATATCAACATGTTTACGTCACTGTACTTGCTTTTACTGCCTTTTAAACGCTTGGCATTTCCTTTTCCAGCATCACTGTGTACTTGAGGAGGTGTGGTTTCCTTCTATGAAGTCATGCTCCTGAACTCCATTCAAGTCAGGAGCTAATTTACTAGTTAAATTAAAAGTGTTCATTGAATTACCACTACTAACGAGAAGTGTTTTGTTTTTTCTGGTTTAACAAGATTTGCTGTAATGGTAAATGACAGTCTGGCAGCATATTACAATAAAAACTTGTGTCTAACCCATGCCAAATCTGGTAAATTATTTTAAACTCTGTCAAAATGTGATGTTTAAGTACAGATGTATTTGTATGTATCTGTATCTAACACATATTACATCAGTAACATGCCATATATGGTCCTGGTGACCAACCCTAAAACCTTGTAACAAAACACTTTGTTGGTCTTTGACCATCCAATTAGCTGAGTTCTCTTTGTTAGCAGTAAAGAAAGAAATACTTACAGTAATACAAGGCACTGGTCTGCTGGTCACTGGTGCAGTGTGTGGATGACCGCGGTGGTTGACTGTGAAGTTTTTCTATATGCTCCTTAGGAACCTCCCTCTCTAAACTGTCACTTTAAAAGGAGTAGATGAGGTGAAATGACTTCACTACAATGTGGACTGAAAACGACAGTGAGGGGAGAGGGGTGTAGGAGGAGGATGGAGAGAGGGAAAGGAAAAATAGGAAACTTTATCCTTAAATAGGCATGGCTTTTCAGCCGTACCCTCACCGTGTCTTTGCATCTCTGGTTTGAAAGCCCAGCCTTATTTGGGCAGAGATGTTGCACAGAGAGCCGGAGAAAGACTGCAGCCAGGCAGAGTTTGTTTGGTTGGTATGAATTCTTCAAATACTTTCACCATAAACCCTACTTAATTTAAAGGAAAGTATTGTAACAAGGACAATAAAGTGGAAGACAGTTGATGCAGATGTAGAAATAGATTAGACGATGGTTTCTAAGTTGTTATTCTTAGTAAAAGGCTTTCTAAACACTGTTTAATAAACACCACACTCACTGTGACTTGATCAAAGTGACATAGTGTGAACTTACTTTCCATAACTCTTTTACAACTGCTAGTTAGCTGTTTGTGAGCATAAAACATACTAACATCAATAGTTTTGAAAAGACTCTCACTTGGGGATGTTGTATGAAACCAAAGCTCAGACTAAGAAGGCAGACTCTGAGGTTTCCCAAAAAACTACCACTGGAACAGTGTTGCTCTGCTCTCCTCACTGTTGACATTCTGTTGACGTCAGCAGACATGACACAGTACCTGTAGAGCGTTGTATGACTAATGTGAAAGGTCAGTTAGAATTTCTCAAGTACAACATGAAGTAGAAGATCTGACTTTTCACTAAAGCACCCAGAGCCTGGGTTTGATCAGGTGTCCACCTCAACACAGCCACAGGCTGTTGTAGAGTAAACACTGAGAGATTGAGCTTCTGTGTAATCAGGGCAGGGCTGCCTCTTTACTGATGTCTAGTTTGGATCACTGATCACCTGGACCCTGCCATACTGGAGCTGCCACATCACCCATATGAAGTCATTCCAGTCAAATTACAGAAGTGGTTTAACCCCATAACCTGTTAGAAATGAAAATGCCCTCTTAATAGAAATGTGTACATGTCAGTGTCATCTGAGCAGTGCTCCTGCCACGATGCTCCTGGCTATATTAATGCATTGGTCAACAAAAACAACCAATCAGGATGCCCATGTCTTGCCCAAACAGACTTGACAAACAGAATATTGTACATTTCCACTAGGTGGTAGCAGATTGTTTATTAATCTACCTGTTGTTGTTCAAACAATAAAATTAACCAGGCTTTGGCTATGCCACCAATGACAGCATTGGATAAATATCCGAAAAGTAAAGAAATAAACTATCAGAATTGGGTCCTGGAGAAAACAGTGATGTAGATGTGGTCAGAACAAAGCAAAAATGGTAAACTTATCTCACCTTTGGATTTACTTAAACTCGGGATATGACCAGTCTGACAGTTATTTATTTATAGTTACATTGTTTCTCACCAAAAATCTTCACTGAAAAAGTGAGTATTTTTAGTTAATTTAAATTACTCAAAATTACATTGCCGCCTGCACAACATATCTTACTGACCGACATAAGGGTACAATAAGCAAGGGCTCCATCTAGTGAGAAAACTCCACAACTACAGTTAAACGTTAAGTAGATATTTCAACGGACCACTTTAATCAAGGCTATAGTGCATCAAGCATCTGATAGTTTTGCTGGTTATATGTCACACCTGGTATATTTACAAATGTCATAAATACTGTGTGAACAACGGGATTGTTAAAACAAGAATCATACAAATATAACAATAGGTATTATACAATTTAAAAAAATGTAATTGCATTTTCATCATTCACATATTTAGTGGTGTTTCTTTTACATTCCCGTTTCAAATGCACCTACATGAAAATTATTTGTTTGTTATTAAAAGTACTTGAAGGACTTTATAACAATTAATTTCCTAGCTGCTGAAACTGAGTTTTTATCCAGTTGTACCTGGTCTCCTAGCTGATGTTGGACAGAACTGAGATCAGTTCTTCAAAGACAGTCTATAGTTGGTTGATCAGTGAGGTTTCTAAAAACACAATGACATGTCAAGATTCAAAAATGTTAAGGTGGCTAAGAAAAAAAGGGTGACATTCATAATACTCTCTATTTGCAGATTACTGAGAACCTTTGCTGGACTCTAAGCTTCAACTGTACTTGAGGCTCATTTTGGGAATTATATTATTATTAGTTGCTGATTATAATCAAGTTTTAAAGTGACGGTACATTAGACCCAGTGCATTTGATCAGATGTTCAAAAACTGACAGTGATGTTGACAGTACTGAGCATTTGCTGTTTGTCACTGTTCTCACCATCAGAACAAAGACTCACAACTGAGTTCTCACGTTCCACGTCTTATCATTTAGAAAATAAGTTTAAGACTAATGTTACACCTTTTAGCCTGCCTAAAAAGGACTGTCCTCCATTTTACTGTTCAGGACAACGTGTGAATGTAGGTCACCTGTTGTGGTACAGTAACCTAGAAAAGTTGATTTTCATGTGGGTCAGACCTTAATAATGTGAGCAGGAACCTAACATGTAAAGCTGACAACAACATAACAGATATTCAGAAAGAGTGAAAATGCCAATGTTTTGGTTGTAAAGGATTTTATCAGTTGATGTGAAAAGCTAGTGTGGCACATTGGTTGATTTCCTGTCACTATTTATTAGACAGAAGAAGTTACATATTCTCTCTGTATGGTTGTGGAATAGAACCACGTGTTCTCTTAACTAACTATGTGTGTGTGCCTGTTAATCCTTTTCTAAACTCCCATGGCACCGATGAGTTTCCTTTTTACAAAGTTCCAACTAACCTATTTTTCCAATTTTGTAGGTCATAGTATCAGGTGTAAATCTTTTCCATGCACTCAAGTGTCATGGGTGTAACAACAATGTTTTGAAGTGGTGATAATGTTATGTGATCACAAAAGACACATGTCTCAAAGAGATAAACAATAAAATGATCACAACAACTTTCCATAAGTCAATCTTTAAGTACCAACAAAAAGAGTGTTGAAATAAACCTTAATCTTTAGTATGTTATGTGTAGAGCATGTAAAAATATTTCTATTGTTCAATATTCAGGGATGGAGAGTGGAGTGGTATCAAGACAGCACTGACCTCCTTTTCCTGCTTTTGTTGGAGAGATGAATTAAATGTTTATTTGTCATTACTGCCACTGCCAGGGGAAGGTGTCTGGTTCTGTAAACACCCCAGAGTTATACACTTTAAAATAAGGCTACTGTTATTGTTACCCTTTCTATTCACAGTCTACATTCTACCCCAGGCTGACACTGACACAGTACTAATTGAACTCTATTACGGAATTGGTATTTGTTAATTAATCAGATGCTGACCTCATTGTTGTTTGGGCTGGGTGGATGCGTGGGGCCCTGGACACTGCCTCGGTCCGGCTCCCTCAGTCTGTGGTCCTGTTAGCTTCTGTCCTGTGTGCCAATCCCTTGCTAAGGAGATTAATAAGAAATACAATTATCCTTTTTCAAAACTCATATAACTGGGGAAAAAATGAGGTATGTACAGTCAACGCAGTCAAAGTTGTATCAACAAGACAAAGTAAAGCAGAACAAGTTTTCCAAATATTAATTGAAAAACCAAATTAAGTAACACACTGACGGAGCATTTTGGAAATGTGGGTAGAAAACTAAAACTGAAAACTGAGAGAAATGTCCAGCAGATCCAGGCTCAGTATTCAGCTGTCGGCCTCAGCAGACCACGACAGTGGACATGTCCTGAAGTCCTGCTCTGAACAACTGGCTCCTGTATTTACATAAATATTTAATCTCTCCCACAAGCAGGGTGTACTCCCAGTCTCAATGTCTGTATCGTTGACATCTCAAACCACCCTTATCACTTTCATCACATCCTCCCGGCCGGCCAACATAAACCCAATGCAATTTGCATACCGTCCAGGAATATCCACGGGCGACGCCATTACCCTTTGGATTCTAGAGGACTCTTTCTCTTGTGGACTCAGGGAACTATGTCAGAGTACTGTTTGGGGATCATTGCTGATGTGCAGAGTGACCTGGGACCGAACGTCTTGGTCTAGCTGGTGGATCTACAACTTCCTGTCTGACACACAACAGGTGGTCTGTCTGGGCCGTCAAACATCACCACCCTTCACTTTTAGCAAACAAGTCTAAAAATAACCAAATTGACTCTCAAAATAGACCAATATGGGAAAATTATTTATTTATTTTAAAGGAATTTATTTTAAATAGTTCTTCGCAGTCATTTCTTTAAATATTTTCGGGTTAGAAACAATGTTATTAATATATTAATATCACCAAGCCCTCTGGAAAAACTACTGGATAAAAAGAAATGTCAAAGAACGGTTATGTTTCAGCGTTTCAGTTTTTGGTACCTGGCTCTCCTGAAAATTCACAGCATGGAAGTGAAGTCTTTTATAAAATAATATAAAATAAGAAAATAAATTAAAATTATAACATAAAAGAGCTCTTAAAACGTGCACTGACCGTTGAGACAGCAGATTGCTGCTCCACGGGGTGCACGACCCTAGTCCGCAGGGGTGATGCGTTAAGTGACCGTAAAATAAAATACGAATTTTACGTGATATGTTCTTCAATTCAACACAAATAGTTGATGAAGCCATTTGTGGCTCCAGTGGACCTAACCTGTTAAATTAACAATACACCAGATGTGTGAAACTGGACAAAAATGAATGAAGAGAATGCAGAGAATGAAGCCAAACCACTGGTTGCTCGTTTAAATAGTCTTTATTCGCTTTATTGCAGAACCACTAAATGTTACAGTTCTCCCATTGGTTATTCTGACAGTGAACAGATAGAAACAGAAGACATGATGGAAAAGCATTGCACACAAATCTACAGCTTGAATATGAGTACATTCTAAGGACTGCAGAGTAAAGGACATTCAGGGGTCGTCAGTAAATACAGAACAGGATTTTCTTTTCCATCTAGTAATTCACAAAACACAAATTTTCCTCACTGAAAGGAGACGTGAAAGGAAAAAAAGGGGAAAAGATTTATTATTGACACATACACTGACATTGACAATAAACAAAGTAGATAATAAAGCCTATTTGTACAGACAGACTAAATAATGTGTCTTCTCTGAAATCTTAAAATTTAAATCCCATTGCCATCATATCAGAAAACCCAAGCATCAGCTACATTTTTTCTAACTTAAGCAGTAGCATATAAGAGGAAACCAGAGAAAGTGTTATAGTGGCTGTCATTATCGCAAAGGAAACATCCAACAGGCAACTCCACAGCCACTCGGTCCCCAGCTCTCAGATGGAGTGCGACAGCGATAGTGGCGCTGTCCTCCTGGTCCTGCATATTTATTTCTCTGCTTCCTGCCAGCGTTACACCATTTATCTGCAGGTTGACACAGGCAGCCAGGGAGTTACCAGGAGAACCAGCATCACTGGACACAGTGACCGCAATGCTGTAGACGCCAGAGTGAGGAACGGTGAAAACACCAGTGTCAACACTGTAAGCACCCCCGAGGTTTATGAAGACGTCCTTGTACTCGATGAGCCTTTCATCGCGGAAGGGACCATTGCAGAACAAACCACTGTGACTGGTCAGTGCTGCAGAGAAGGCCGTCCGGCTGTCTGAACACACAGGGGACAGAGGCAGGCTGGACGTGAAGCTAAAATTAGAATGCATCCAAATTGTTCCAGACAATAGACACTCATTCTCCTACCTTTGGCACTGGTCAGAGCATCGTCTGTCTTGGCCAGGTCCTTCTCAAACTCATTGAGTTTAGTGTCAAAGTATGTCTTCATTCTGTCTATTTTCTGCTGCATCAGGCAGCAGCCACAGGAGATCTGGTCGGTAAGACACACTGACGGCACACATGTTCAAACACACACGTGCAGCAGGTTTATAAACAGGCCACAGCTGTTTTGACCTTGTTTAATTTCTAAACAAAAGAATCCAAGTCTATCTTGTTTGCACAGCTGAAATGTACAAAACCTGAACAATTTATAAAAAATTAAATAAAATGGAATCTTCAATTTGAAAACTCACCATTGTCCATCTGATTCCCAGGTCCATTCCAGAAAAACTTGTTGGCCTTGACCAGAGCTGATCCCAGCAGACACAGCAGTACCACAGCTAGGAACCCTGAAAAAACCATTAGAACACTGATTCCACAACATATTTACATGAACATGTTTGACTTCCAGCCTGTGAAAAACATGGACTCTAAAGCAAAATATTGAAGATGACGTGAAGCTTTACCTTTCATGGTTCTGTCTGGATAATTATAGTGACTTTGAAAGCACCAGAGTTAGGATGGACGTGTGAGGAGTCAACGGTCACAGCTATATTTCTTCCATCCGTTCTTTGAACTGACTCCACCTGCTTTTACTCTATTGGCCTTCCCTCAGTCTATTCACACCTGCAAATGTATACATTGTGTACTTTCTCACACACACAATTCCAAAAGAGAATAGAAGAAAAGTAACAAAACACTACAGTAAAAAGTAGACTTGAATACCGAACAAATGCTTCAGCAGCGGCTGAGTAAACAGTAACGCCTTTAATAAGTATTATTATAACCTGTATGTGAACATTTTGACCAGAAGAAGTAGAAAATAATGATTAACAACATTTCATGACTGACTATTTTAAGTCTGCCTTGATGGTTAATTATTGAAAATATTTGGGTATTAGACTAATGTCAGATAGTTCTTACAAATGCAGGTTGTCATAGGGATACAGAACTGAAGATAAAAAATCTGAATTGATAGAAGGTGTTGAAGCTCCACAAGCCTTTCTGGGGCCATGAGCAGGATTCAGCCTCATCACCACCTCAGCAGCAGGTGTTCACTTCATCGTTGTTACAGTGTGTTTTAGGTGCACTAGCATTTGTATTATCTGTGGTTTGTATTATACTGGAGTCATTCTGGTTTATAACCTCACACAGGTAGAAAAATTCACAACATTTATCTTACATTAATTTGCACTTTTAAATATTTAGATGTTTAGATTTAGATGTATAGGTGTGGCACAGTGAACTATTTCAAAGTAACACAACACGTTAGCCAAATAAGTGTTGTTTAATCCGTTTTATTTTTTATTATTATTATTATTTAATTTTCATGTCATTATAATGTTGTTTACATAATTCTGTTTTTTTGTTTCTTGTATTGTCCCAACATTTCATCAGTTTTTGGGTCGTGCTGGTGGATTCAGGGTCCAAGGTGGCTGTTTAGTTGGCTTATGTCTTTTATTATACCCTTGGTTTAACATGCTGAATTAAACAATTCTCTTATTAATTTGTGACAGTCAATATTTATTGACATTTAAAGGGGCACAAATTATATATATATATATATATATATATATATATGCAGAAGCACAACTATTAGAGTGGAAATTAAAAAAAGTTCCAACACAGATTTTTCTTCACCGTTCTAGTTTATTGTCTAATAATTCTACAGATTCCTTCACATATCATTTGTCAAATATCAAAGAACAATCAAACGACCTCAAAGTAAAATGACACTTTGTTTTGTTGCCACAGTCTTAAGTAGTAGCGTACAGGAGAAAACCAGTGAAAGTGTTATAGTGACTTTTATTATCACAGAGGGAACATCCAGCAGGCAACACCACGGCTACCTGATCTCCAGCGTTCAGATGGAGAGACAGGACAACTGTAGCGCTGTCTTCTTTGTCTTGTGTGTTTTGTTCTTTGGGTCGGGCCACTACGACTCCGTTGACCTGCAGACTGGCACAGACTGTCAGTGCATTAGGGGGGATCGTACCACCACTGTACACAGTCAGGGCAATGCTGTAGACACCTGAGCGAGGAACAGTGAAAACACCACTGTCCACATTGTAGCCATTCCCAAGGTTGATGAACTCATCTTTATACGTGACCACCTTGTCGTCGTTGAAGGGGCCGAGGCAGAACCAACCAGGTTGGTTGGTGAGTGCAACAGAGAAGGCACTGCGACTGGCTGGATGTGCAGGGGAGTGAAAAAAAAACAGACTGGTTGGAATGTTGTAATTAAAGATAAGTTGTTTTTGTTTTTTTACAAAATGAAAACTGACACAAACCCTGACCTCTGAAGTTGTCCAGAGCATTCCTCGTCTTGGCCAGTTCCGTCTCAAGTTTATTGAGGCTTTGGTTGAAAAATGTCTCTACTCTTTGGATTTGCTGCTGCATCAGACAGCACCCACATGATGTCTGGTCTGTAAGACACACTGAAAGTACACAGAGAAAGAGTAGAAACACATTAGTTGTGTTTTCCAGCAGTAATAATAATAAGGGACCAGCAGTCAGTGTGACTGGGACCAGCAGTCAGTGTGACTAGTCAAGCAGCAGTGGAGAGACCAACCACTGTATTAAAACATCCTGAATTGTCATTTTAAAAACTGTTTCCTCACCATTGTCCCTACTGTCAAAAATGTCCATGCTTTTTGAAGGTCCAATCCAAGAGAACCTATTTGCCTGGAGCAGTGATGATCCTAGCAGACACAGAAGAACAGCCCCTGGAAACCAAAAGGAACAAGAACATCAATCCAGTCAGATTATATGATATTTTTTACCTCAACATTCGGACTCACCTGTCTACTGCATTCATTAACAGAGCATGAAACATGTTATTATCATAGTCAGTTTCACCTTTCATGTTTTCCATGGTAAAGTAGTTTGACTCGACCGATGTTATTGTGAACTGACGCAGTCGCCGTTTACTGCTACCTCGACACATACACTATATATATGTATATATATATGTGTGTGTGTTTCCCAGTAGTTCTTTATACATTAAGAACCTCCCCTACTGCCTCCAGAGACCATCCTTCTCATTCACACCTGCAAATGTATACATTTGTATGGTCACAGGCATTAACTATTGATCCTACAATAGAGCTTTGTGTCCAGTATGTAGGTCAGATAAGGCCCTTACTGTCAAGGCAACTGATATGTCGGTTCAAGTGCCACAGAGACAGTCGTTCATTGTGTTTTTAAAAAGGTTTATTGTGTTTTTGAATGACTGTTGTCAACTGAAACAAAACAGCTGTGGTTGTACAGATACTGACAGATAAATCAAGGAAATATTCTTTTATTAATGAAATACATATTTTAGTGTTAAAACAAGTCAATTTAATTTGTCTAGATTTTCAAACACGAGGGATGTGTTTGGAGATCTGTGTATGAAACTAAAAATGTTTTTCAACCTGCGATAAATACAATAATATATATTGTAGCTCCTACAGTCAGTATGAGCCACAGTGTAACACGAGTGCCAACATTCAAAGTTCAGCAGAGAGAGAAATTGAATGCAACTTTTATTTAAATGCTTCCACATAAACAAACAAAACATTTACAGTTCAATCTGTGATATTGTTTTATTTTACGACCTTGTCAAGGCATTTAATCCATCTTGCAAATAGTCACTGAGGCCCCTGGGATTGACCAAAATCTGAATCCTGGATAGAGTGGACCAGTGAACTGGGTGTGGTGGGAGTGGATGAGGTCCGCCTGCTTGTTAGTGATGCTGTAAAAAGCTAAAATCCCAACGTGTTGGTCCACGTACACACCAATCCGTTTGGCCTTAGGTGAGCCCAGGAGCTTTTCCTGCCCATTGTGCCAAAAGGAGAAGCCAGTCCCAGACCAGTACAGACTCCAAGACTGGACATTATGTCCTAGACGGCTTCTGACATCAGAACTCTTACGTTCCATGTCTTTGTAGCACACCCCAATAGAAATCTGTTGGATGGGACAGAACAAGAAAAATCAATCCCCCACTGCACATTTATAGACTATTTCTTAAATTTTGGAATGCTGATATACAGTATTTGTACCTTCTGGCCTTTCCACTCCACCTCCCAATAATAGGGGCTTCCAGCCAATGGCTCTCTGCACAGAACCTGTCTCCAGAACTGGAAGCGATCCAAATGATTTGGTGGATTCAAGTTTTCAGCTCTCAAAGTGGCCTTCTGACCTCCATCTGACAGCTGCACATGACGGTAGGCTGTGTTAGGGTCCATGGTGGGTTCAAAGTAAACTAGAGGAAATAGATGAGGGGAAGTAAATCTACTGTATGGTACTTAACCTCCTTGGAATTGTGCAAAATATTGTGGACTCACATTTCTGCAGTTCTTCTCTCGTCTGTGGTTCCTTGTTGTCATACCCGACCTCAGCCTCTGTAGGTACAAAAACAAAAACAGGTCATCACTGGGTTGACTCAAATATGTACTGTAAAAGAGAAAATTCAACAGGTGACTGACGCCCCCATGTTGACAGAGGAGGAACTACACAAACAAAGAACTGTAACTCTTCATTCAGTACTTTCACAGCTTTTGACAGAGATAAAACAGCCATCAGTGGTTCTATCAGTTCCCACTGTGAAAGTCTCAGCTCACAGGTTTCTTTCTCCATTTCTCCAGGGAGATGGCAGATTAAAGTTCAAGTGTAAAATTGGGATAAACTCCATCAAATTATTGCTCTTAATTTAATGATATATATATATATGTATATATATGTGTGTGTGTGTGTGTGTGTGTGTGTGTGTGTGTGTGTGTACATACATATAAAATATATAATATTTTACACACATTTTGCCTGTTCAATATCATGTATTATTTTTGTTGAGTAGATTTCTGACTGACCTTGGGGTCTTGGAGGGGGCGACGGTGGACGGTTTATCATTTGTTCCTCTACTGAAAAGTAAAATATAAAAATGTTCATCAGAAGCAATTAATATCCCTGTTCAGGTCCAGTCAGACACCAGATTATTCCGTCCAGTACATACTGGGATGAGTAAGAGGCTTATGAGCAGATTTGTCACTCACCTTGGGGTCTTGGAGGGGGCAGTGGAAGAGTGTTCATTTCTTTCTCTACTGAAAATTGAAATAAAAAAGAGCAAAATGTCCATCATTAACATTGATTGAAGAGAGAGATAATTGAGATTGGCTTAGTTAAACTTTTTTTACCTCCAGAAGAACACGATCCTTCATCACTAGGTGCTACAGTCCACAAATCAGGGTTCACTGTGAGAGAAACATAACTTGAGTGTTTGGGCCAGGAGAGGTGGAACAGAGGAGCAGGAAGAAGGGTAAAAGAGAGGAGTTAAACACTGACCTAACGTCATGATCCTGTCAAAGCTGGCTTTGCATTGCAGTTCAACTGCAGTTTGCAGTTCTTTTGTGGCTGAGCGGATTGAGGCTATCACTAGTTCCTCCTTATTAAACATGGACTCTTCTGGGGCACTCACTGGAGCCAGGGGCTCCATGGTGAAGAAGTTCTTGAATTAAAAAAATGGACAGTACGAAAGGTGAATTGTTTAAATTTGGAGAATATTTAATTTATATTTTGTTTCATGTACTTGTGGTTTTACTACCTTAAGGAAACAGATGTTGTCTTCAATTGCAGCCACCCTGCTCAGCTCTTCACTCATCCACTGGAGCTGTGCTCGCTCCTGCTCCAGTTTGTACACATGCCCTTCAATGACGTTGCCTAAAAATATCTCATGGCTGTTGAGGAGATCAATCACTCGGCTGCCTGTTTGACTCACATTCTTGGCAAGTTCTGAAAACAATTCTGTGGTCTCATGTCCCACAGCCTGGACCAAAGCCTGTGCCAAAAGAGAAGAGGAAATCAAACTAAATGAGGACATTTGCTAAGGTTGTCATGTTCTCTGTGGAACGCAACAGATGTCTGTTGATTTATTTTGTTTGCAGTACTCCTACTACTGTAGAATTAAGGTAATAATTACAACCCTAATAAAGGAAGAGATTCAAATAATGTTAAAATAACAACTTGGCTGATACAGAAACCAATACCAATGATTTTTTTTCCTTTTGTGCCAAGGACACATCACTTAACCATTTTAAAATACCATATATTTATATATACCAAGTGGAAGTGTTTGACAACATACAGGCTGGAAGATGGGACATCTTTATAAAACTAAAATGGACTCCTCCCAGTTTTTTGCCAGTGTATGTGTTGACACTAAGTGGTTGAGAACCCTAGTCTTCTGGCTGCCATCAAAATGGTTCGGCCTGAAGAACGTATGTGTGATGTGGAGTCTGAGCGAGTGAGTGACCCTCCTCTTATCCCCTGCCTCCCCTACTTTGACTCCAATCTCTGTTTCCTCTCACCACATCCAAATTCCATCATTTTCTAGAATACTTCTCAGTGATGATTTGAATAAAGTTGTTTAAATTATATTCATATATTCATTTTATTTAAATGTATCTTCTGATGGTATTAGCAGCTCTACTTTACCTTTTGTTGGCGAGCCAAAGGTGGGAGCTCTTTGAGCTTCTGTTCTGTGCCCTGAATCCTCCTCTGTACCTCTGCCTGCCTCTGAAAAAGCTCTTTCTGCACACAAAAACAAACAAAAAGTAAAAATAAAAAATAGGAGGATAACAGGAACATAAGTCAAGTACACCCATAAAAATATTTGATTTTAAATACTTGAAACTACACACATTAACTGTGATAAAATAAAAAGTAGCTAACATTAAACAAGGTAAGCACCAATGTCAGAACTCTCCCTGTGGTCATTACACAGCTTCACGTACCTGTCTCTGCTCCCTCTCTTCCTGTGGTCGGACCACACGATGACCTTTATGTCCGTTCTGGCAACACACCTCACATACATACGTCCCATCTTCATGGCAAAACATGTTCAGAGGAAGGCCGTGATGAGGACAACACCTGGGGTCGACTGTGGTGGCATGAGGATACACGCTGCCCAGCACCTCCAGATAGTTGGGCGCTCCAGCTGGGGAGGAGGACCAGGCGCTGGTAGAGGAACTTCCCTTGAAGCTGTTGGTTCTTAGTTTTTCCATAACCTCAGCAAGAACAGTGCTCTTGGCCAGCGATGGTCGAGGGTTAAAGATCTGCCTACACTGGGGGCAGCTGTACTGACCATTGCTGTCTCTTTTGTCCCAGTGACTCTGAATGCAAACCAGGCAGTATGAATGACCACATGGTAAAGTGGCCGGCTCCTTTAGAATGTCCAAGCAAACGGAGCAGAGCAAGGTCTCCTCTTCCGTCCAGGCAGAGGCCATGTTCTGAGCTAAAGTATTAAAATTGAATCGTGTTCACCAAGAACACACCTGACGGTTTGGATAACCTAAAAGTTAGCTAGTAAAGAAAGGTAACACAGAGAGGGCAGATAAAACCTGAGTTGAGGGTGGGGCCAAGTAAAACAGGTGTGGTGAGTAGTTTCCCCTATGATGTCATAGGTGTGCCAACGTCAAACAGATGTTAAGACTTTGTGACGAGAAGGCAAAATTGTGCAACATAAACGGTATTTAAATTACAAAATGTGATTTTATGGAACAAGTCTTTTTAACAGCTGAGCTGCGTAGAACCCTGGTTAAAGTAAACACGTTGAAGGAAATATTTGTAATGACACACACTAAACCCAGATAGACTGGTTTTACCCCCGGGCGCAGCAAGTGATGTAAGCATCAAGGAATTGTTGTTTTTCCATTCAAATGGTATCATAACTATGAGCATCACGTCACCTTTTATCCTGCAACAAGGAAATTATTAGACTGAAATTAAAACACAAAAACTACATAAAATTGAAAAAATCCGCATCTCACTAAATATACATACTTTCTGTTGGGCTGTTAATGAAACTGTATTTTATTTTAGAAGCCAAACTTGTTTCTGGCTCCAGTATGGGCCTTTCCCACGTTTTCAAAGAAGCTCTCCAAAGAATTGTTATAATGTAGATATAATTCAGTGGGGTTTTTTTTTTTCAAATTAAAAATATTTTACGTTAATGCTATATTTAACAATAAATATAGTATTTTTTCCTTCATTAAAGCTCGGTACCGGTCGGGGACCTCAGTAGGTAACTCCGCCTGAAAGTTTCTAATAAAAACGAATTCGACGCAAGGCTGACGCTCGTGAAGCAGCGCTGTGCCATTTAAAAGCTGTGGTAGCCGTCAACAAAGGGAAACGGCTGTTTTGATTCGGTCGTGAAGGTAGTTGTTTTTTTCTATTTGAAACTAAACGTGTGAATCCCAAATACTGGTATCACTGTTTCGCTAAAACGAACACCACTTATCAGTGTGCATAACAAAACGAAAACCGATTAGCGTTTGGTCAGTTTCCGGTGTGTCCTGTGCTAGCCTCTCGTGGGTACAATGACAGGAGTTGGCAGCGACACACCAGTCATCGTAATGAACCAGATTCAGTCATATTTTAATACGATGTAAACTGCTTAGTTGGTAGCTTGAATTTAAACTTAAGCAAATATAAAAGTAGATTTGGACCATGTAGTCTACAATTTCACAATTCCACCCCAGCTACTGTACACAACTTGTTTGCATAAACTCAAATAACGGCCCGCGGGCATTGTATTAAACATAATTATATTTTTTAATTATTATATTTTGTTGGAAAGTCAATTAGTGTAAGATGAAAAACTTGTTTTCGCTCTAGACCCCCAGTGAGATGGTGGTGGCAGTAGTGTTCCAAAGATGACTTTGAGACCCCTGATTGACAACATTTTCTTATGCCTGGAAATACCCTGGGACTTTTGCAACTGCATTCAAGTTAAACCTGTTTCTTTATGTATTACAGACAACATTTTCCAGCCAATCATCTACCTCACATCCTTTAATAGGATGTTTCTTCAGCAAAGAAGAGCTATTTCCCAAGCTGCATCTCATGTATTAAATGACTGGAGATACTGCTTATCCCTGGACAATGAAAATAGGTGTCGACAGAGCTTAAAACACAACTTAAAGCTCTATGACATGTTGGCAGGAAGTAAAACCAATGAGATGCAGGGATCACGCCAACAGAAGTGTGCATCAATACTGGTTTCACTGTGCTCTGTTGAAGGACAGCCGTCATTCCTCTTTACCCTGCGCTCCACTGCATTGGACATGAACAAGGGAGATGTCAGGTTAGTGTTCGGCCCACGTTGTGCTGCATCAACTGCATCAAATTCAGCACTTAATTGAATCTTATATGTAGCTTTGCAGGAGGAAAGTGTGATCTGGCAGACAGGGATGTGGTTGCCACAGCCCTGAGGGAAACCTGGGAGGAGCTGGGTATCAGTGTAGCAGCAGAAAGTGTTTGGGGGGTGTTAAAGCCTCTTTGCCACCGTGTAAGTCCAGCTCTTTTACTCTATTTTACATGTTACGCTCTCTCTCTCTTTCATACAAACACACACACATATACATAAAAGTACAGGGGGTCCTCGGTTTACAAAAAAAAAAAGAGAGATAACTGAACTACTGTTTAAAGAGGGGACAGTGGGGGCAAAGGGGTACTGTAATGAAAAGTCACAAAAAGTTTCTAAGTTAAAGGTTGACCATCTATCAGGTCAACAAGGGAAAAAACAATAATTTACACTGTATTTAAACATACTTCATTTACTGAGAAATACATGTTTTTAGTCTCTGTGTGTGTAGTTGCAACAACACTGAACTGTTTGATTTTATTTCTCTTTGTTTTTCCTTTGCAGAAAGGATTGACGATTGCTCCTGTCTTGGCCAACCTTGGTCCAGTAGAGGACTTGTCCTTCAGAATAAACCCAGGAGAGGTAACGTCATAAAGAATGACTCTACAGCTGATAGGATTTTAACTAGAATGTAGTTGAAGGCCATTAGTATAGTTTAGTTTTACTAGCTCTCTGGACAACAAGCCACACTGAAACATGTCTTATTTATTTTATTTCCCAGGTCGAGGACGTCTTCACTTTACCTTTATCCCACTTGTGCAATCCCCAGAACTGTGGCTACACAAACTTTCGAGTTGGTGAAAAATATGGATACACACTTCCAGTGTTTCACAACTGGAAACAAAGAGTTTGGGGCCTGACTGCAGTAGCTGTGAACCAAACTCTGAAACTGATTGTTCCCTCATAGCATCCATAGAACTGTTTAAATATAAAAGCTGACATTGTGTTATTGTTATAAATGTGTGAAAAAGCTGTGTTGTAAATTAATATTCTGACTGCATTTTTCTTCTGTTAATGTTAATTTTTAGAAGATCAGTGTTACATAACAACATGATTTTAAAGTATTTTGATTTTCCTGATTTACCTTAAAATATAATTATCTTCAGATTTTAGAGTAGATTATTTTATCAGGTAATATTTTTATTTTATCATTTGTGACTCAAGTTATGGTTTGTACGTCTTGATTTGAGAATGCAATCATCTGTGACTGACCAGGCGATCCACTGTCCTACTGTTGGCTGCTCCGTCCACTTCCTCAGGACAGCAGTAGCTTCTAGTGTCTATCTCTCAGTGAATGTATTACATCTATTACATAATTGGTTGTCGCCGAATGTTGAAACATTTTTAAATAATAAATACTTAATTTACTGTTTCCCCGTTTTTCTTTAATCTCGAATCTGTAGTTTTTATGGTATTTTTTATTTTTTCAAAGAACAAAATTTTAGGCAGTGACTGCTTTTAAAGTAAGGCACAACATATAAGTTAAATAAATACTAAATAACAATAAACAGGCTATAATTGTGTAAATGGGAACAAATATAAGAAGCAGAAAATGATTTAATGTAAATAGCACTGTTAATAGCAAAATAAAATATACTTATTAACGGCACGTTCATCAATAGCAGGGTTAAATACAACACATTTAGGAATAGTAGCATTGTTATTATTGGCATTCTTCTTGATAACGTGTAGTTTATAAAAGTCAATAATCAACAACATATAAATATTGATTTTTGCACGTCTAGACTGTCAGGAGTACCACCTCGAGTTTTACCTGAAACATCTTTATTTTATATTTAAACTAAACTAAAAAAAGTGTTCAAATACAACAACATGTATTGAAAACACTGGCACTGAAGTGCTCTTAAAAATGGCGGAATAACGCTCGTTGAATGTGTAATCTATGGCTTAATGGCGAGCTCTGCTGGAATTTGACAGTCATTGCAAGATATTGGAGCCGGGCATGTTTCAGCCATAATCTGGTGATAACCAGGCCAGTTGAAATAACTAGGTAATATTAAAGTGCTAACTATATACCCAATAGTCTATATTTACTAAGGAGGGGCAAAGACATTCAATTACAGCTGCCCAGATAAGATAAAAGGTCCATCAACACTAGAAACTTTATAATATATTTTTCAAATATAATTTAAATATAATGCATAGCATCATTTGTCCTAAAGGTGTGTTGTGTAATTTTTTTCCACAGATTTTCTACACACATTGTGACACCGTCGGTCAAGAGAGCCCAGTCCTGTGAATGTTATATAAGAAGTTTCATGTGTGTTTTCTTACTGTTGATAACATTACCATATGAGATACTACAGTGAAGAATATCAGGGTAGGGAGCAATCCATTTGGTCCTCAGAGTCTGGAAGGAGGTCGCAGTTGAAGGGCCAGCTGAAAGACAAGCGCTCCAGTGTGTGACTGCATTGTGCCTGAGCTGTGGAACAGACTGAGCGGCAGGGATAAAGGACGCCACCTTGGGGAACACACTCTGGCAGGAATATTCCACATACGAGTCTCTGCAGGGGGGCAAAGCAAGGCAGCTCCATCAGAACCTGAAGGACAAAACAGGGTGAGAAGGTAATGCAGCAGCACCAAGAATGTCTGGGGAAGGTAAATATGACACATGATAAATGCAGCTCATGCCTGGTACTGTTGCAAAAGTGTGGCAGCTTCTTTCTGATCGGTGATGGACAGCCAGATGTTTGGTAATGAGGTGACGTTGTAGTTGAGGCCCTGACACATACTGACAGCTATCAACTCACAGGAAGAAGCTGAAGAAATATGGATGAAATGTCAATTGTCTTCATTCACAACGTCAGCTGCTAGTCCACATATATGCTAACTTTTTATAACTGAGACCAGATGATGCAAACACTAACTTAAAGATGGGTTGGTGGAGTTTCCACAGTTCTCTTCATCTTCTCTGTCAGGACAGTCGTTCCATCCATCACACAGCCAGTTTGGCTGGAGACACTCCCCTGTGCTACATACAAACTGGTTGGGGCTACAAGTCTCTATTGAGATAGGACAGTACAGCCATAAGGTACAGGACACAGTGGTTAAAATGTGGGAAAATGACTGTAATCCTACACACCACCACTCTCTGCTACTTTGTTACATCATCTGTTGTCAGGTAAAAGCTCTATTCAGAATGTTTGTTCAGAATGGATTGATAAAAGCATGAACTTACTCTGCCCTACAGACGAAGCCTGGTAAGTTACAGTGAAGCCACTATCAGTGACTTCATCATCAGCCACAAACACCACCGTCATATGGGGGCCAGAGGAGGTCAGGTCTGGGGGAGAGGTGCTCCCACAAAACCTTGGACATAATATTCATCAAGAAATCATTTTTTTAAACCAAATTTTACAATTAAGTGAAAAGTCAAATGTGTTGTGTTAAGACTGTAATACCGTCCCAGGATTCGTCCAGAGCCAGTATCATAACTATCGTACACCTCCACGTAGTCAAAGTCACACACATCCTGAGTTTCCAGGCTAAAGTTCCTGAAGCTCAGTGTAATGACTTGACCTTCTTCAACAGTTATATACCATATACACAACTGTTGGAAAACAAATACATCCATCTTAGACCACAACGATGAAAAACAGAAAGTAGCGTTCAGCAGCTCAGGGCAGATTTTGAGGTACCTCGTGGTTAGGATAAGGTTTTGGATGATTTGGACTTGACAGGGAACCATGAGGACCTGACTTCTGCCCACCACATTCTGTAAGTTGTACCACCATTTCATCAGATTTTTTTTAAATTTCTGCTTTACATTTCAGTAGTGAAGTTATTTGTTCTCACCAATGTATTCATGGTTGCAGTTTGCCTCATCTGTTTGATCGTGGCAATTTGGTCGACCATCACACACAGACACAGGAAGCAGACACAGACCACTGTCACACATTAACTCCTGTTTGTAGCAGCTTTCTGCGAAGAACACACAAAACATCAGCAGTTTTGCACCAGCCCACAGGAGGGAGACCACACGGACTACATAGAACCTGCACGTGAAAACCACGTACTCTGTCCAGGCAGTACGGCCCTGTACTGAACTGTGAAACCGCCGCTTGTGATGCTGCCATCGGAGTGGAAGGTTACCCAGACTGTGCTGCTGTTGGTGTTAACAGTTGCTGGTGCAACGTTACCACAAAATCTGCAGCATGGTACAGAGAAATGAAGGAGGAGGAAGAACAATTTCAAAAACTGGCATTGGGAAAACCTTATATTTAATACAATAGTATACAATAGTTTGACATAAAGAACTTATATTAAGTTACTTGAGTTAAAATTGTGCAATAAAACTGACCTGAGTGACCTGGAGCCTTGCTCCGTCTGCTCCTGCACTTCCAGCCAATCAAACAGGCACGGCTGGGGTCCCTCCATGTTCAAATAGGATACACGGATCTGCACCAGGGCTGGTGGTAGGACATGGATAACCCACGTGCAGAGTAAATTGTGGGGATAGTAGCCTGGATGGTTTGGAGAACTGAAGCTGCCTTCAGGGTCACTCAGTAATCCTCCACAACCTGACAAACAATGAGAAAATACTTTTTTGAAGAAAAAGATATGGACATAACCTGTTTTTTTTTTAAACACTTAAAGTGCAAGGCACAAACCTACTACATTATTAACTGGGGTCTATGTGTGTGAGTGGAGAGGAGACCTGAAGGCTGTGATGTAGCTGTGTTGTTCCATTCACTGATGTTGGGAGGCCCAGCAGGTAAGACAGTGGAATTCCCTTCAGAGTTTAATAGGTGTGGATGGTTGATCACCAGTGTCTGACCCTTCACTCTCAGACTTGTCATCTCTTAATAGGGCAGAAAACAACATTATATTTATTTATTTATGTGTTAATGAACATAAACATGTAATAATATGTAACATGATTACATCTTACGTAAAAACAAATGGGTCAATGCCGATCCAAGAGTTGCTAACAGGAACAAAAGAGCTGCAGACATTAGCAACAATTTACAGCTGCGTTCTGTGACCTTCTGATGTAGGACACACACTGGTGACAGACCACAGCAAAGGCCTAGATGACAGAACACACAGAGACAAAAAACACAAAACAAAAATTCTCATCTGTCAGAATGAAACCCTGCTGTCAACACAGGCAGCTGTTTGTCTTCCACCTCTATATTTGCCAGTTTTAGGTCCAATTTTATTCTCTATTCATACGCTGCCACTCGGGCAAATAATTAAACTACACAATGTCTTTTTTCATTGTCACACTGATTTATTATTCAGGCCTAGTGTTATTTTTCTAAGCTAATGAAGACTGCTTGTCAAATTGCTGTCAGAGGGTTCATGAATATGTGTTTCATTGCAGTAATTGAGATTACACAACATGTCTATCTATCTATCTATCATTACTCATAAACATGGTAAACCAGGTGAATACAACATCCTGCCAGAGGTTTTTTTTTTCGGTACCAGAACAACTCTCCATTAGGGCATTCAACCAGTTAGAGGCTAAAAGCCACTCAAAATATAACATTTGTGCAAAAACACTTTCAAAGGTTAAAAGAAGCAAAAAAGATGAACTCACCAGCTACAGGTTGACCAACAGGTCCAGGACTGGCAGAGGGTGGCAGAGTCTTGAAGCTTTCCAGTCCTTGTCCTTCCAGCTCATAGGCAGGGTTGCAGAAAACATTCTGCTGGACGCAAAACAAGAAATCTTATGAAGAGCTGTATATTTAAAACCTCTGAAATAAGTAGTATATTATTATTATTATATAAGCCTTGAAATACACTATTGTGACCATCATTCATCTGCCTTGGAATACACTATTGTGACCATCATTCATCTGTCATTTTTTAAAAATACATTCTAAACTTCCTACCTGGTACTGGTACTATACATATTTGATAAATATAAAATAAACATGTCACAAACCCCATCCCACTTGTAAAAAAAGAGGAAAGCTAAAATTATTTATTTATTAAGGCAAATAAAACACTCACCTCGTTACTTTCTGATGAGTCAGAGCAAACAGCAACATGAATTGGGTCACACATCTTTACTGTTGCCTCTGTTGATGGAGAAATGGAGTTGACAATTCCAGTGATGTAGGAAATCCATTCAGGATGACAATTTGAAGACCATAATATCTGTCATTTTCTCTTTCTCCTCTCAGCGTTGAGGTCACTTTGTTTCATCTGGTCTTCTGCTCTTACTCTATGCAAACACAAATTCATTTGATACCAAACGAACAACATATAAAAGCTCACATATATAACAAAACAGACCCTCGAAATGTGTGTGCTGGAATTCCCTCTTTTAATTACACCTTTGTGTTTCAAGAACTCATTCTCACTGCTCCGCAAAGTAGAGTCAGCTGAGAGGACTTAGCACCAGGGACAGGGAGGAGGCAATTGACTGAGGAATTAGGAGAAAATAATTCTGTTAGAATAAAGGTGCATTTCTGCTTTCCAATAAACCTTTGAGAGAATTCAAACTTTTGAGCCTGATAAATAATTACTGGCTGGTGCGTGGAATTCTCTCTCTTACTGCTTACTGCCCTAAACTGTATCACTTTATCACATTCTTTTTCTGTTCGTTATATCTTGGCTTCTTATAAATGTTGTTGTTGTCATTTGTAAATTATTTTTGTTCAGGCTTTGCCTCTGTCTCCTGTGCTACTGCAACACAATAATTAATCTTTATTGATACCAGTGCGGTATTCATTTCTAAACCCTAACGGCGGCATCTCTGACATACACATGCGCAATCGAGCTTTGTGTGTACGCATGCGCATTCCAACTGTGGGCACAGGCAGTCAAGGAAAGAAAGCCTGGAACTTAATATCATTGTGTTTCTAACCACCTGTTTTTGGACAAACGAAGTAACCCACTGCCGGAACCAGCTACTGTAAAACAAGTTACGAAAGGAGGAAGTGTATTATTTATGCCGGGAGTCAGACTGACTTCCTGTTTACTTTTGAGCGAATGTCGTGTGCTTTGGTAGGAGCCTCTGGACTTCGGGTCCAGTTGGACGATGGCCGGGCTGTGATACTAGGCCGGGGTCCGGACACCGGAGTCACCGATAAAAAATGCTCGAGACACCAGGGTAAACAAACGTTGTAAACAAAGGTCGCTGCAGTTTTTAATTAAATGTATTATACGATGACGGTGCATGTTTGTGATGGTTTTTCAGTGAAGGTGGTGGCTTGTTATGCAGAACAGAAGGTTGTTGTCACCCAGGTATGAAAACGTTAAAATGTTACATTTACAAAGTTTTTGTAGCAAAACAAAAAACAAATCACAGACAAACCAGGTTTGGTTAACTGGCACCAGCTATCATTTACAGTCCTCCTACTGGCTGTTCTCTGGGATCTAGCTTTACTGAACGAGCTCAGGATTTGCAAAACACTTATATATAATGCAACATAAACAAATGCAGTATTTTTAATGTGATACATGTAATGAAAAAGCCCTACTGTTTTAACCACCAATGTTGTGTCTCATATCGTTTTCTTCACAGCTAGGTGCAAATCCTAGTTTCCTGAATGGGGAGAAACTGGGCCAGGGGAATTGTGGTAGTCTCACACATGGTGGAGTTCTCTATTTGATTAACCAAGACCATCCACTTAAACTTCATTACTCATTGGTTGATGAAAGCTTCAGTGATGCAAAACAGTCCAGTGCAAAGACCCAAGGAGAAAGTTCTAGAAAAGAAAAACAGGCACAGTCCCATGCCACATACTCACAGGGTATAGAGAAGTTTTTCTCAAAAAGGGTAAGTCGTCTATTGCCTTTTGTCTGTTTATTAACTGAATGCCTACTGTTTCAAATCTACATTTTAAGGAGGACCTCTAACATTGTTGACAGCATTTAATGTTTGTGTCAAGGCCACAAAAAGACAACTGAGCCCAGAGCAGGGACACTCGAAGTTAAAGCGGCTGAAGACAGAAGAGGAGGACTCGGGTGAACGGATGAAGAATGAAGAAGAGGAGAGACAGGCAGAGATGAAACTCACACAGTTGCAAAAGCTTGCTGAGAATTCTCTAACAGAGAGGGCGGATGAAACCAAGGCTTCTTCACTTTTGAAAAGTCATCTGAAGAGCAGCTGGCAGAAAATAGACAACCTCCTTCTTTACACTGCTGCAGGATGCCAAGGCAGAACCAAGGTCTGACAGGTCTCAGTGGAGCAAGGATTATTCCACCTGTGACTTACTGATTCAAAAACCTCACTGTCCTCTGGTTTCCCAGATAGCTGGGTTTGACATAGATGGATGCATCATCACTACCAAGTCTGGAAAAGTCTTTCCTACCAGCCCAGATGATTGGAAGTATGTTGACAATTCTTAATCTTGAAACTGTACCAAACTGTACCTTGGTATACCAAACTCAATAACAAACATTTTTTGTATTACAAGGATTCTTTACCCAGAGATCCGTGCCAGGTTGGCCTCTTTAAACCAACGAGGATATAAGGTAATGAGAAAGTCTAAAAGCTATGTTCCCTGGTAGCTATTTCTGCTAGATTTCTAATCTTCTGGCTGCACCTTTTTGTTGTAGGTGGTTTTTTTCACCAATCAGATGGGGATAGCTAAAGGAAAACTTAGACCTGAGATCTTCAAGTGCAAGGTGGAAGACATCCTCTCTACGCTGCAGTTACCTGTACAGGTTTGCCTTACTTACTACTATTCCTGTTCTCACACCACTACGACCAAAGGTTTGAATGAGTTTAACTGTCAGCCCCTACATGAAAACGGTATATGAAAACAGAGGTATCAGCGAATACAAAAATACTCTCACTTATATTGGTTTATTAAAAATTGGTGTCAGGATAGCCTTAAAATATATACATCCTGTTCTTGTTTGTGTTTCAGGTCTTTGTTGCAGCAGGTCCTGGAATCTACAGGAAACCAGTTTCAGGGATGTGGAATCACCTGTGTGAAAAGGTAACAACCCATTTAGAGCCAGAGATGCTGTATATACACATGTGGATGGGCAACGCTTCATTTGTCCCCTGGGTGTCTAATCACCTAAAACTAGAACCATTAGACTTTATTTGCAATAGAGGATGCCTGATGATTGCCCAAGTGCAAATAAAAACACTTCACAAATAACTGCCCATCATCACTACTGTCATCAGTTTGTACCATTTCTTTCACGTTTGAAAATTTTCTTTGTTTTTCTTGACTTTTTAGGCCAATGATGGTGTTGTTGTTGACATGGTAGCAAGTTTCTATGTGGGAGGTGAGTAAACAAGATCAAACCACTCATCATTTTGTATTTCAATCCCTATTTAACATATTGTATACCCTGACATATTGATTTACCTCTAAAGATCACATTTCCTTACATATTGCCAGATTTAAATAAATACATAGAATTTAATAGACACAGAGATATTGAAAAACATAAGTAGGGTGAAAATGAGATGTTATTACACCTTCAGATTAAAAAAAGATTAGCATATCCATACAACACAAAGTTTTTAATGCTTCTAAAATATACCATACACCCATGACGATATGCATTGACCTGCCAATTAGGTTTCTTTCAACAAACTTCCTCCGCAAAAATAAAGTAACATTAGATTTAAAGCTTTGGGTTTAAAGTTACTTATGATCCTGTATAAATTAAACTCTCAACTATCGAAAAAGGTAATATCTCTGTTCTGACTACTTTAAGATCCCTAAGTATTGGTTTTTATTCTCTTTTGCAGATGCAGCTGGAAGACCTCTAAACTGGGCTCCAGGAAAGAAGAAAGATTTTTCCTGCAGTGACCGGCTAGTAAGTTATGTTTTTTATGTGGCATTTTAGTTTTTTTTTAAGCCAGCATTATCAATAGTCTATACAGTGTTTAATATGCTCTTTTCTACAATCTAGCATTAATTACTAATTGGTAGAATTTTTTATTTTTTGGTTCATTCTACTTATGCAGTTTGCTTTGAACATTGGGCTGCAATTCCACACACCAGAGGAGTACTTTTTGGGCTGGAAGGTTGCCCCCTTTTGCCTTCCAGCATTTGACCCTGTAGGTATTGTAACCAAATTGTTTGAATATTTCTGACTGCATGTTCTCAATAGTACTTTTTCTCTACTATTGGTAGAGAGAATGTACCTCCACTGGTAGGCTTTATGACCCACCTTCAGCCTCCCTTACATCCAGCAGACCAGAGGTCATTGTTGCTGTGGGTTTCCCTGCTTGTAAGTAGACCGTACTTTAATTGTATTTGTCCATCAAGTGTAGCCAATAAGATTTGTTATTCTTTTTTTTAGCAGGTAAATCTACTTTCTTTCAAACCCACATGATTCCAAAGGGTTACTTACAAGTCAGTAGGGTGAGTAAATAGTCCAGTTTCACCTTTTATTACAAGGTTTGTCACTATGCCTGTACTACATACACATAAAGAGTATTTTCACCTGTGTACTCACTAAGACCCAAACATCTTTAGTTTTGAACCAAAAGTCTTACCCTGACCCAAAACAAATAATAAGGATCCATAACGTATTTCTCATTCCTTGAGGAAATTTAGTTTCAAATCCAGTGTTTCTCAACCACTGGTCAGAAAATTTTAAGCCTAAAGTCTATAAGGCTACGATTATAATGACAGCACAAAATCTGTCTGTGTGTGTTGAACCATTTACCAAAGACCAAAACGATGATGGCCGTGACATTTGTACTCTTAATCAAGGTTCCTACATCTATTGATTAGCTTAACTGCTAATTGATGGAATCCCAGAAAGTTACTTGATGTTGTTTTAGTATTACGTTGTTGTTTTTGCTTAAAAGAAGATAAATTACTAAACGGTTGAACTGAGGATTTGTTTATACATTGTAGAAGAACTTTCTTCATACTGGGAAAATGTTTTTAAAAATGTTTTTATTCTATGACAGGATGAACTTGGTTCGTGGCAGAACTGTGTGTCAAAATGCAGGGAAGCTCTGAGGAAAGGCCAGAGTGTAGTTATCGACAACACTAATCCTGACCCAGAGTCTCGCAAACGGTAAAGCAGCAACATCAATATGTATCACTGGGTGATGTAGGATTTTCTATGTGAACAATAAACCATGTTCATATACATTTTGCCAGATATGTGGATGTGGCCAATGCTGAAGGAGTGCCTTGTCGTTGCTTTAACTTTTCTCTCTCTCTGGATCAAGCCAAACATAACAACAGAGTAGGTTTAATATGTCTCACCTAGAGGACATTTCCTTCTTTCTGTTGTTGTTTTTATAAAAATAACAATATTGTTTACAGTTTCGTGAAATGGTGCCATCAGATGTTAAGCATGCCAAGGTCAATGACATGGTTTTCCACAGCTACAAGTAAGTTTTTCTACTGTTGATACTGGAGCCTTGACTCCTGGCACCCATAATCACTTCATATAGATCAGCGTTTTCAATAGGTGAGGCACGCTTCCTCTGGGGGGCGCCAAAGAGCCACAGGGGAGGCCTGTATAAAGTTGGATGCATTAAGTGAATATTATTTTTTGTTGCAAATAATCGTTAAGGAATGCCCTTTCTAAAAAGTTGTGAAAATACCATTGCCTCATCATTGTCAGGAGCACACAGACGATGTATTTACTGCAGAGATGTGTGTGGGTTAGGGCAGGTGGACAGGATTTTGGGAAAGGGTGGGGGGAGGCTCACATTCACCCAATTTGAAAACCCATTATACTTTACGATGTGATTTGTGTTTTAGATAGATTCTGTCAACACAGTTTTTTCTGAACGTACTCATCTGTGTTTCTTCCTGTCAGGAAAAAGCTTCTGGCTCCTGCACTCTCAGAGGGATTCTCCGAGATCCTCCAGATCCACTTTGTGCCAAAATTCAAAGACAGCCAATCAGAGGCCCTGTTTAGACAGTTTTCTGAAGGCTAAATGAACAGTTAGATTGTTGTTGAAAGCAATCACAAATGGCTCAACGGCTCACAGTAACATACGGCTCCCGTTTTAAAGTGACAGCTCAGGTATTTCAGTGCGAGTAAGTAGTACTCACAGAGTCAGTTCCAGTACCCCCAGAGAACAAACCTGAGTTTTGGACCGACACTAGGTGAACCATAAAACATTGCTACCTGCAGAGACACCCAGAAAAACAAATCTACAAACAAACATTGTGTGTTTTCTTTAATAAAATCAATCACTATCCTAACTTTGCAGTGTGGAACTCAGTTATTGACTACTGATTTCTGTTGCCTTGGTCATTACGTTTCTGAGTGAAAGTGGGGTAGCCAGAACTGGCGTATTACTGTATAGTTTTTCCAGGATTACTTGTCATTAGGGTGTAATGTCAAATATGTTGTCATGATGGATGAGCAAGTACAAAGCTCCATTTTTCAGCTCCAGGGGACAGGGTGTTTGATTTAAACAGGGTTTAAGTTTGTTTAGGGTGCTGTTTCTTTTAAGTCACTAATTATCTTATTGTTCCAGGTCCTATTTCTTCTATCTTTTTGATAATCATCTACTAGATTTACAGCCCTTCTACACAAATTAGCTTGAAACTTTGCCAACGTTTTAGCCATGCCACTATTGGACTTTGAGTAAACTCCCTCTATTGTATTGTACAGACTTCATGTTTTAATGTTATCCTTCTATAACCCTTGCAATGCCTCCCAAAAAAACAAACACCCTGAAGGCTGAGTAATGACCCTACCTGGAGTCCAAAGTGAGGGCATGAAGGATAGTGAGTGAGAACCAGTACAGAAAACAAAACAAAACTGGGCAGGGATTTTGAACAACTTTTTTGTTTCTCACAGATGAAGAGCTCTGTAACTATTTGGAACACCCACATTCCCAGAAGGACGACTGGGTTCCCTGTTTGGCCACATTGCTTAAACATTATCTGTCTGTCACAGGGCGATGCACGTCACATGATGCCTGGTGAACCTTCACCCGCCCATGTCGATGCGCTTGTGTTTTTACACGCAAATCAGAATAACCAAAGTTGTGTCTGAAACTGACAGAGCAGGACATAGTGTCATAATGACAAGGCTTAGAGGCTTGTGTCTGATTGTTGTGTATTTCCTGAAATCTCCAACAAGCTTTACTGTGTTTTTGTTTGAAAAACTTTGGCTATACAGGAAAATTACAATTTGTTGTGTTAATATATAACACTTGAGTTGTCTGATGTCTTGTTTAAAGTCTGTGTTTAAATGTTTGCATAAACATCAATGCCAAACATCTACTTTCAGTGTTTTTTTGTTAATCACTGGAAAAATATCAATAATGTGAAAGAAGAGGAAAGGAGAAGAAGTTTTGGATGTTGAAGATAATGGAAACATTACAGTATTCAAAAGTGAGTTTAAAGACTGGCATTACTTCAACCTTCAGCAACCATTAATCAAAGCATTGTGTGGGATATATCAATTTTATATATCAATTTTAATACCTTCAAAAGAAAACAAATCACACTTGATGGTTATCTATCATAGAACAATGGTTTACAATGAATTTTATTGATACTGTTTGAAATGGGGCAACCTTTAACACTAAGCTATTTGGACTCCTTTCCCACAGAATAGAAAGCTTTTATGCCAGAGAACACAGGGTTAAAAAGGATGAACATATTAAAACTAGAAGTGTGTACACCCTTTAAAATTGAAATAGGTTGCAAGTGCACCTGTTTTTAAAGGTGTGTGTGTGTGTGTGTGTATATACCTGTATTTCCTTGTCTGCGTCTTTTCCTTCAGGGTTGATGGCTCGCCATCAAATACAGTTGGGATCTTGTCCTGGTCCTCAAACTTTCCCATCCTCTCAGAAACCTGACCTATAGACAAGGTCACATCTACAGTATTACATTCCATTCTCAGATACATCATTAAAATCTCATCAAATCTCAACTCTTAAGTATCAGTTGTAAACATTCAAGAAAGACAAAAGTACCAATACGAGGAGTAAACACCCAAGAACATTTTTTCCTTTTCAAGTGAACACTGTCTAAAAAATACACATTTTGTTAAGTAACCACTAACATTCAAAATCTATCACATTCATATCAAAATCAGGATAACCTAAAGAAAAATACCAATAATGAATAACGAATGAATAAATGACGCAACAATTAATGAATAATCGGATAAGTAACATATCAAAGAACGCAGTGAGTAGTTTTCAGAGGTATCAACAAATTGTCCTTAATTACTCCACATTCACTCAATATTAACTATAGGTCTACAAGTGAGGGAAGAAATGATACTGAAAATAAGCTTTTACAATCTTGTCACCGTTATTCTGCGCTTTAAGCAGAGCACTACGTTGATTTTGTGACGACTCACAAAGTAGAGTATGTAATATATAATTAGCCTGTGAAACACCGAATTAGCATTAGCATGGACGTGTAAACGGCCATTATTTTTTCAATTAAGACGGATCTTACCGAAAACGGCCATTCTTTTTTCAATTAAGACGGATCTTACCGACGTAACTCGTCCCCTTCATTCACTCACTCAGCTCCGGACTCTCAGCAAGTTAGTAAACGGCTTAACTTTTAATTTCACAAAGTACTCTCCATTTCTTTCCTGTCCTCCGTCCTTTTCGCAATCGACACCCTTCTTTTTCGCTGCTGATATTAGGACTGAAGAAACAGCACGTCCGCACTTCACCTCCACAACGACAAGATGAACATGACCTGTGAAGCTCCTGATTGGCTGTTGACGGCTACGACTCCTCGACCCCAAGTGGTGCATTCAAGTATAATAGGACATTGATGTGTACAATTAAATATTAATTAAATACTTACTCTTTTTATTCGACCTCTTATTATGTTTTTGTCACCGGGGCTACACACATGTTTTAATTCCCTTTAAGTGTCGTGTACGGTGTTCCATGGGGTTAAAAAGTTTGATAAATTTCATACCGACAAGTGTCACCTGTCGGCCGCTGTGATGTGTAATTTGAGAGACAAAGTTAAATAAAACAGGTTTTATTTTTATTTTACACCATCACCATAATACTGGAATTGCGAATTACAGTTAAAAATAACAAACCAAAATAAAAATACATTGAAATAAGTATTCAATATTTATTTTCCAAAGTCGCAGGGAACTGCAGCAGAGGGCTGAAAGGACAAATGCCAAAGATGGATTTTCCCCCCATACAGCATTAATTTTTGCATTTTTATAATTACTTTAACATGTCCTGGTGAAAAAGCAGAAAAACTGCAGATAATACGGACGACACCCGTGCTTTGACACCGCTGAAGTGAAAAAAGCAAAGTTGCGGAAGTTTGGGTCAAAGATATCGCGAGATTTACGATGACACGTGACACGCCCATCAACGTTATATTTCTGTTGATTGGATGGAACGTGCTCGTAACGCACACTGGGAGATAGAGTTTTACAGTTTAGTGAATGCAGTATTGTTATGGAAGAGAAAGTAATTTGAAGTAATACAGGTAAGACAGTGTTCCTGACAGCGTTGGGAGCTTTTCATTTAATTATTTGGACGATATTGAGTTATGGTGAATTTAAATCGCTAAACATTCTTGCTGATTCACCATTGCTGATTAATCTCTCTAATAACCCGGCGTTAGTATCTCTCACCACCTAAAGCTGTCCTTTCATTGTCAAGTGCAGTGAAGTTATACGTGAATAACAACAGCTTTGTCACCTATGTGCACGGTGTGAAACTCAAGTTACAAGTCCTTGTCTTGTAAGTTCCAGGCACGAATAACTACTTTACAATATCTAAGTTGCTTTAAAGTTGTTCTTTCCAACTTTTATGGACATGGATGTGTTGCATTATGTATGTGTATTACTGCAGGCTATACTGACATTTATACTTGTATAAAGTAATGAAATTACACGGCAGTTTTATATAAGATGCACAAACTTTACAACCTTACTGTAAAGTGTCAAGTCAACATCCGTGTGTTTTGTAAATAGTTGGGTGTTTTCTGTGTAGAGAATGTGGACAGACAGGTGTGTCCTTCAAAGCTGTTTTGCAAAGTGAACAAACAAAAGCTCCTCCCCTCACTATTTACCATTGTGCTCAACCTGCTCTTCCCTCTGACATCTCCTCTTACCTGGGCTGTCACTTTGCTTTTTCCAGCTCCTGTTGGAAAGGCTTTTGTGCAAAAACTAAAAAAAAAAAGGATATTCAAATAAAGGTAAAACAATTCAATTATTACTATTATATTACCATTATTATTACTGTATTTTCTGTTGTGGTAACAGATTGACATTGTTTTTATTTTTTTTTATTCTTGACATAGAGCAACTGTCAATTGTTTTATTTATTTTTTAAGTGAAAAATATTTTATTTCACTTAGACATCTCTCTATCCTCTAACTTCTCGGTATATTTTCAGAGCATCATTTTGGAAGCCTACATTATGTCCAAGCCAGCAGTTCACCACATGCATGAAGATGCCTACATGTGTGTGATGAAAGGCCTGACAGAGCTAGACCTACGAGGCTCGGCTGTCCCCAGTACCTTGGTGTTAACTGGTGACCATGCATTTCCTTTGGCAACCAGCAGCAAAGGTCAAATCCTAATGGCTGCGTCGATGTGTCACAAAGGAAGGATCGTCGTTCTGGGTCATGAGAGCTACCTCACAGCCTGCCCATCTCTCGTTGAGAATGCTGTGACCTGGCTGGGAGGGGCTCATTCCAAGAAGCCTGTGTCCGTGGGTGTCCAAAGAAAATATAGCAATGTTGCTAAAAATCTCAGCACACCCCACTTTTTACCCAAAGTGGTCGGATCTTTGAGTGACAGTCCCGATGTTGACGTTTATGTGACGGACGCCTACATTGAGGATGAAAAGCCAAAGGACTTGGTAAAATTTCTGAAGGCTGGAGGTGGTCTCCTGATGGCAGGGCAGGCATGGAGCTGGGCTAAAGGTCATCCAAAGCAGGCCACGCTGATAAACTTCAAAGGAAACAAAGTTTCTGGTGCAGCGGGTATTCACTTCTGCTGCATTCAAGGTGACGTGGAGTGTCTGCCCGTCAGTCCTAAAATCCCTACATCCTGGATGACTGGAGTGTAAGTTCTTATATAATGTTCTGTGAAATAGCTGCCATGAAATGCAAAGATTACAGCAGCGCTAATTCAAACCAAGGATTTTTAGCTATGTGATGGAGTGCAAGGTGAGGCCATGGATGATAGTGAGGGAGAACCAGTAAAAACAGGGTTGAGCAGGGATTTTGAGCCCCCACCCACATTCCCAATATGAAGACATTACCCTGTTCGGCCACATTGCTCAAAAGATTATCTGGCTGTGTGTTTTTTTTTTTTATGAAACCTTAATAATAATAATTTTTTTACTTTTCTCGTACAATACAGAATCGATGAGGACTTTGTGAAGGACCTGGAGTTCCTGCTGCGTGGTGTATCGCAGTTTGAATTTCAGGGTGGAGCATTGTTTTCTGAGATCCTTGTCCATGGCTCTCTCGCCTTTCCCATTGGAATAACAGATGATGGAGGAACATTCCTGGCAGGAGCCTACTATGGACAAGGACGGGTCATTGTGATTTCACATGAAGGATTTATTGGCTCAAAGGTACAGTTTATATTATGTGGCAAATTAACTGACTCTTAAACTTCTATTATTAGACACTCCAAGCTCCTCTATTATCTATCAGGGGTTCATCCATTTTTTTTGTCAACCATATTTTTGTTGTTAAATTTTTAACCTGAAAGACATCAGCTTGTACTAATAAGTAATATTGAATACCACACACTAGAGTTTATTAATATCATTACGTTATTAATGCAGCATAACTGGATCTATTTCTTTCATCTCTACCCCTTCTGAACAACAAATCCATGGTGAATGCATTACACTGTGATGTACATATACCTGTAATGTGGTGTGCATTATGTCACTGTGCTAATGTTGTTTGGTCTAGACCAGTAACTATGGTCCGTATTCTGAAACTATTTCTTTTATTTCAGAACATAATGCAGTTCTGGAAAAATGCTCTTCAGTGGCTGGATGAAGACCGTAACGGAGTCGTCGGTGTCGCCCATGACAAAGCTTTCAAGCATCTGAAGACGTCAGGGTTAAAGTGTGAAAACACGAAGTTCAGGAAAGACCTCAGTGTTTACATATGTACAGCATACAGTGCTAAAGAAGCAGATGAAATCCTGGAGTTTGTGGAAGAGGGAGGAGGCCTGCTGATTGGTGGACACGCCTGGTACTGGGCACAAACACACCCAGGCCAAAACCCACTGACAGACTTCCCAGGTGAGGGCACTCTTCAAAGGTCATTATATTAACATCAACGTCATTATATTGACATGATGTGTGCATGTACTCCCTAGGAGTAAATACATTATACTGAGAGTACAATATAGTGAATACAAGACTGACATACTTCAGAGCAGCACTGTGTTGAGACATGGCTTGACATTATTCAATGTTTAAAATAGTAATAGTAGAATAATATTTTTAAGCAAATAATATATTTAATATAGAACACAGTTCACTAAACTACAACTATGCCAATAGTAGGAAATATAAATTATATATCAGTATTTAAAGTGTTGGATAAAACCATGTTTGATCTTATACTTTTCAGGAAACAAGATCCTGAACAAGATGGGCCTGAGTTTATTGGAAACATCAATTAAAGGTGCTTTGTTCAAGGCTCCAATGCCAAGCCATGTTTTCAAAGACATGTACCACTTTCGTCACCTTTTACACCGTTTTGCTGGATATGTAAATCGTGGGGATAAACTAACCAAAGAGGAGGAGAAACACCTAAAAAAGCTCAGCAAAGACTGTGCCAGCTACCTGAAGATGAACGCGCACGGCTGCTGTTTCTACACACAACTCCTGTCCTCTCTCACTGACATTCTGGTGATGTCAGGCATGCCACAGGTACAAAGACAATGACTAATGTTACAAATTAGTTACATGCACTGTCAATTAGGTGTCATTGTCACACGATAGCTAGTTAAAATATTAACCCTGAATAAGTGTTGGTAAGCAATATATTCAATTTAATATACATACTTTTAAACTCTCAAGGTGTGTGAAAGCTATCCTGTCAAGAATCCAAAAGACCACCTGCTTCTCAATGTGGGGACTGAGCTATATAAGGTTAGCCCAGACCCAGATACCCTGTTGCCCCACCTTATAAAGAATAACCCAGTGATGCCAGTCCTGTGGAACCACAAGATAACGATCACCGTAAACACAGCAAGTGAGTTCTTCTTGAAATGGTTCGTCCTGCATGTGTGTGCAGATCGCTACACTTACATGGAGCAGTGGTGGCTTGGTGGTTAAGGGGGCGGACATTGGTCCATAGCCCTGCCCCCTGTTCACTATTTACACATAATGACACCTGCTAAATAGTGCACTTTGACACAAAGTGAATAGTCAAATTTCAATGTATAAGCAGTACAGAATACAACAAAATCTCAGTGGAATAAAATGGTTCTCATGCAAACAAACGTAATGGGCTAACTAGCTCCTCCTTTGTGTTTGTTGTGTTAGATATGCCGGAATGGGTCAGTACAGGTCTCTATCTCTCTCCTGGAATGAAGACATACATGGCCATACCTGCAGAACTGGTGGGGAAGGACTGGAAGGTATGTTCTGGTTATAAAATATCTGACAAAAAAAAAACTGTTTGTGAAAACATGCTGAAATATCTGCTGTTCTTCCAGGTTCAGGTGGGCTGTCAAACAGATGTCCTTGATCATGACAAGTTGTTGAGGCCCCCGTGTGTGCATCAGCGCTTTTCAATCAATAAAGAGATGATACAAGTGTGGAACCTCTGGGGGGGACTCATTTATCTGGTGGCCCCAAAAAATACGCAGGTTGATGGGGCAGAGGTCATAGTACAAATGGCTGTACCCGCTCCATACTACAAAGCTGGTAAGTAGTAGACAGAATGATAGGAACTTAACTGATCTCCTGATATTGTCCAGTGGTGTGTTGTATTCTCATGAAGACCCGGTAGAGTTCACAAAAGTAATAATGTTAATAGAACTGTGTTAATCCATACATTTAAACATCACTAAGCATTACTTTACTTTAGAACTAGTGGTTCCATAGTGTAGCAGTTATCACGGATGTTTACATATGTGCCTTACACACAGAAGGTCCTGAGTTCAAGCCCTACAGTCACATGGCCAACCTTTGTTTTAGGTGAGACAACACTATCTGAATGGTCATACCTGCGCACTGCTCCCGCACCTTGGGCGGAGCTAGAGTTCGACAACATCATCCTAACAGTTCCTACAGATGTGGTTAAAGACCTGGAGCGCCCTGATGAGTTGGCAGAGCACTGGAATATAATGATGAACGCCATTGCTGACTTGGCTGCCCGACCACATAAATTCAAGCGCAAGGAACGTGTTGTCACAGATGTGCAGATTTCTCATGGTATGTGTATTTACTTCAATCAGAGTTTTGCTTATCACTGCATCAACACCTTTTTACTGAAACACAGTCAACTTGGCTTATATAACTAAACATTCCAGCACTAAGTATTTTTTTCTGTTCAGGTTGGATGCATGCAGGCTATCCAATAATGATGCACAAGGCCACTGCTCCACATCTGGTCAGCGTTGAACATGCCAAGAAAAATGGCCTGTGGGGACCCATCCATGAACTGGGACATAACCAACAGAGAGCCTGCTGGGAATTCCCCCCACATACTACAGAAGGCACATGTAACCTGTGGTCTGTGTATGTGCATGAAACGGTCCTAGGAATAAGCCGAGGAAAGGTTGTTGAAGTGATCAATTACTGTTGTACAAACTGATATTACACCTCATGTTATGTTTGAGTTGTTTTACTGTTCCTCATTTGTCATCTTTGCTGCAGGCACATCCAAATATGACAAAAGAATGCAGAGAGAAAAGAACAAAGAACTTCGTTGAGGGTGGGCGGCAACTAAGCAAATGGAGTGTGTGGGTGGCACTGGAGACTTATATGCAGGTAGGAAAAATACTGCTTACATTTTCCAATACTTAAATCAATTGATTTTATAAACTTGCATTTGGATCTCATACCGGCTTCAATAAATAGCAGTGCCATGCCCTCCGCCCCCCAAAGTTACACAACACTGAGGTTAATTATTGGGGAGTCACTGACAAACTTAATCTGACACCTAAACACCACCACGAGAATGGTGGGGGGAACGAACACTGCTGCCTGTGTTCGTTCCCCCCACCATTCTCGTTCTCATTCCTTCACAATTTCTTTGGCACATGTTTTTGATGGATTTCCACCACACCAATTTATCTGGGGTTTGAACCTGCACCAAGTTCTGGGTTGGCCCTGATAATAATAATATAATAATGTAAATATTCTTCATTACATCATGCCATAAAATAATGTTCTGTGCGTTTTTTTTTTTAATTAGCTCCAAGATAAGTTTGGATGGGATGCCTTCAAGAAGGTGTTTACTGCTTATCACAAGATGAGCAACTTTCCCAATGGCAAACAGGAAAAGATGAACCTGTATGCAGAAACATTTTCCAAGACTGTAGGGATGAACCTGGCAGAGTTCTTTAAGGCGTGGGGTTGGCCAATACAAAAAGCCACTGTGGACAAACTTTCCAACTTGCCACTCTGGACTGACCATCCTATGGTCCAGTATGGCTGAAGGTACTGTACATTTGACAATGCCTTATCCTCTATTACACAATCAGGGCTGAGGTCATTGAGAACATTTTAGATTTTGAGTTTTCAGGAGTTACTTATGTATTTGTTTTTTCCTCTTTTCTTAATGGATATGTGCATGAAGTTAAGGCCATAAAGCCTTTTTCCTTACGTTTTGTGTCTGTAGTTGTGTCTCTGAATATATATGCACAGTATATTTAATCTTATTTCCTGGTATGCATTTATTGATCGTTTTGTTTATTTTAAAAAGTGTATTCTGCATTTGCCCTTATAATTTGTATTTCATGATGTATTTCATGCTTGGGGACTATTGAAGAGTCAATGTTACAATCTGAATCCAGCTCAATGTATTCTGGTGCCATGACATTGCATACTCAATCAATAGCAGACAAATAACATACCAACACTGGAAGAGAAGCAAGGACCTGTTCATGAAATCTACATCATGGAGAGACTGACATTTGCTTTAAAATTATTAATTCTGCTGACATGTCTTTGTACGTTTCTACCTGATGAAATAAAAAAAAACCAGGTTCCTAATGTTCAGATTGTACTGTAATACAACCGTACTGTACCATATACAACACAATAGAATTAAATAAAATGTTATATCATATCTGCTAAAAACACCTGATCATTTTGTTATTCTTCCTTGATTATTTATTATTATTAAACACACAACAGAAGAGAAAAGAGCAAAAGGAAAAAGGACACTGCTTTCATTTGCCATTAGTTTTTAGTTTCACATTGTGGGTTGAGAACCCACAAACATCTCCCTACCTGGTGAGTATTCCAGAAAGGAGTTTTAAAAAAGCTCCCAAGAAAACCCCAGAACTCTGAGGTGACTTTTGCTGAGATGGGAAATTACAAGAACAGCTGATCTGAATTAGTTCAATCAACTCTGAGAATGTTCACCTTGAGTTATGCACCTGCACAATCACTATGAAACGCCATCCTCAATGGAGCTCCGAAACCATGACAACACTAGAGAAAGAGGTTCACTTAATTTACCCTGATAGAACTGGAGGTATTAATGCAGGGCTGTGGAGATTGTGACCTTGTTATTCAGTGCAGCAGCGAAAGAGAGAGACACATTGGCCTGTCAGATGTGTATTATTTGTCTACTGTGAAAAAAGTGCAGTTAGGCATCTACTTTCAGAAATACCAAGTCCTCTAAAGCAACATGCAATCCAGTGTATGAGTTAATCAGATACCCAATGTTTAAAACAACAATGCTGATGCTTTTTCTTTATGTAAATAAGGATTCCCTCCTTTGAAGGAACACAAATTCAATCAGACAAATTTATGAAACAAAACAACCTTTTAATGTCAATTTTCAGTTGACATTTAAATTAACATTTATTGACATGACAACCTCCTATCTGAAAAATAACTTTCAAAAGCCCTCTCTGACTGCTTACGAATCAATGAAAAGATTTTTTCAGTACTTACACTGGCCAACAAAATTATTTGACTGGTATTTGCCTGAAAAACAAAAACATACTCAATGAGTTTTTTCCCAGTACCTTCATTGCCCAATAAAAAAGTAAAAAATACGTCACGTTTAAATGTAAAAACTATTGGAAAATGTAAAATGTAAAAGTCCTATCTTTTCCCATTTTGCCACTGAAGGTGTTGACATTCAGTGGCTGAGAAGCCAGTCAGTCATGTAGTTCCCCTGACAATGGTTCTGTTGGAGGAAGGTGGCGGGGAGTATGTGTGTGTGTGTTTGTGCAGCTGGAGCAAGAGAGAGAATAAGAGAGAGGGAGGGAGGGAAGGAAGGAAGGAGAGCGAGAAAGAGAAAAAAAGTTACGAGTGATTGGCGGTGAATATTTGCGTTGTTTCATTGTTTTGGTGTTGGCTACAGCCCACAGCAGCCTGTGTAACCCTGTGTACTCCAGGCTGATTAAACCTTATGTCAAAAGCACTTGGCAGGTTCATCATTCTCTGCCGAGCAATGCTACTATATTTCTGACAGATTAGGTGCAGATACATTTATAATTTACCGTATGTGCCAATTTCCTGATGGCCAATCGCAGTTAACGAGGCGAACATTGACCAGTAGTTCATCTGATCTATCAGTGCATCCCTACTAACAACAATGTAATATAATGCTAATTCAATGGCTAAAACAAAGGGTCGCAACAAATTACATTTCAGCTGTTAAAGATAAGGTTTTTAACATTATTAGTAATAATAATAAGTAATAATTTATTATAGCTCAACCAGGAAGTAATGATCACTTTAAGGCATTTTATGAGGATTTATAAACCCCTGAATAGTGCAATAAAGGCTGGTATTAGATGTCTTTTGGAAGGTCAGACTTTTCTGTTATTCCTTAACTATGCTTCAGTTTAACACAGTGACACAGGGATCTCTCATGATAAGGTAACAATCAGGAATTAATTCTGGGAGAAAACTTTGACTTTATGTGGCTTCAATTGTGATCTATTACAGACAGAACCTCTGGGCCAGAAAGGGTATGGGTTTGGTCATTTTTTGAAAAGACATCAGATATATACAAGTAATGTATGAAGGTTTGTCAATAAAAACACTCTCTTCAGTCTCCAGTAAGAAGCTGGTAAGAGAAATGACATTACAGCGGGGTCTCTCTCTCTCTATTGCAACTCGTGAGCACCCTTGCAGGGCTGGAGTGTCTCTTACTTGCCATCAATCCTGATGAAACCAGACTGTAAGGGGGTTGGAGGGCAATCAGAACACAGCAAGGAATGTAGTATATGACTAAAATCAACATTAGTTTGCCTCACCACTGAGTAATGTTTAGGGATAGGTGCTGTGGATGCTCTGGATTTAGTAGTGCCAAAACATGTGAAAGAATATGTTCTGGGAAAATGGCCTTCAGTCTGTGAGAGGAGGACATGGGTAGCAGAGGCACACAGAGACTTGTAAAGGAGAGTGGAATAGTCCAAAAGAATGAATATCAGAAGTATAGATCAATTAAGTGTGATGTAAGCAGAAGCCTTCTCCTTCAGTTGTCTTTGACACAGCTGACATCTCCAGCTCCCTACACACCCAAATTGTGCGCAGAAGAACATAGGAAGGATCACACAAAAACACACGCACACAGACAAGTTATCAAATCATGAAAAATTAACATTCTCTATAAGCATGTAAAACTCTAAGGTTAGTGTCAAGTGGAAACATATACATGTATGTGTATATGTGCTAAAATTCTTGTATTCTGCCCAAACATACCCTCTGGTGGTTCCGACATGGGGGGGGTCAGACAGTACATGTGGTAGCCTCGGTCACAATCGTCACAGAATAGCAGCTGGTCCTGGAATGGAGGACAATATTCAGATTCACAAGTGCCTTTGTGATGATGAATAAAAGTGAGCATATCTTGTGTATATAACATGGAGATATAATTATTACTCATTAATTAGGATATTATGATGACATTATGGAGATGTACCTTGTTATTTTTTAAATCAGAGTAAACTAACTTAAAATCTGTCTTTTTGTGCTATAATGTTACACCTCGCAATATGAACAATACATTTGTGTGGACCCAATACATCCTCTATGTAAATATGTGGATTTAATACCTGTAGTGTACTCTGTCTGTGTGTATGTCTGCATGTGTTTGTAGGAGGTTCAGTGTACAGCTCAATGCATAAACAAGTGAGCGCCTACATCATTTTCAGATGTTCCACACAGGCTGCAGGACTTGCACTCGATGCACTGCCATCTATAAGTCCTGACTGCAGCCGTCATGTTCACTGTGAACTGTAGACATGATGGGTGGCCTAGGTGAACACAAACACAAAAGGATGTACACAAATATACAGATGCACAGAATCACACAAACACACTCACATTTATAACCAATTAAAGATGCCCAAAATTGGTTTATGTAAAGAAAAAACACAAATGTGATTTTTGCTTTGAGATTGCTGGTAAAAAAGTTCAGAAATGGTTAGATATCTTGAGGAATTTAGTGAGAGGTGGCAGAGAAGTACAGAAAGTCATGTTGGTGCAAGACGAAATAGGGCAGTGAGACAGCAGTGACAAATGGGTTCAGGGTACGGGTGGTCTTAAATCAGTGATGTCTAGTGCTGTAATAATAACATGGATATTATTATTTTTATTTCAAAACACACCCACACATAAGATCTTGTTTCCCACACTCTGCACCCTCCCCACAAGTAAACGTTATTTTCTTATAAAATCAAACATTTTCAACCTCAATCTAATCCTCCACTCCCAAAGTCACAAAGCCTTTACCTACCTGAACGTCCACAGTCTGCACAAGAAATAAGGTCTTCAGGACAGCCTGTTTTTTTTGATCCCCCAAGACAAAAGTCACAGTAACCATTGGCAATCACTGAACCATCTGGAGCTTTCTTGGCTTCAGGGGTTAAGAAGAGAAAACAAGGAAAGTTAGTAAATAGTTAGTCTGATTAGTTTGTATCACTACTGTCAACAGTGAGAGACTTTATGTGACCATTTTGAAATGCAAACAATGTCAATGGCACATTTGAATTTCACCCCAGCACAAGCCACCACACTAAGTAAATAATCACTGATGAAAAGTAAATGATCTTGCGCTTATTCAGTTAACTCACGCTTGTGGTTGTTCTTGGGCTGAAAGGGAAGTGTATGTCTCTCTAAGTGTTCTTCACCCTCCTCATCCGCCATGTGTGTGTGAGTGTAATGGTAACTCAGCCCTGGACGGTTCTTATATCGCTTTCCGCATACTGAAACAAACAAGCAAACAAACAAACAAACAAAAAAAAAACACACACACAGAGTCAAGCTTCTGATACAGTACAAGATGCAGTACCAGTACATTACCCAACATTGCACTCACTGTCACAAACAAAAGGCTTGTCTCTTTCCTCAGCAGCTGAAAACTCTTGTCTTTTTCTCATATTTCCGACATTGTAAGCCTGCAACACAACAAACACACACACACACATTACATCTCCTGGTTTGTTAAAATATAGATCAAATCTAATAGTTTTCTTACCCGGGCCTTGGTACGTTTTTTTCTTTTTGGAGCTTCTTCTTCCTGCTCATCCATCTCAAGCTCTAGAGGAAAATCCCCAACCAGCAACTTCTGGGGGTTACATATGGAAAAAGACAAAACAATACATGTTACTGGTGGATATGAAATATTTCACATTTCACGTCCAGTTGCCTAACGAAACTCATCAACCTTGACCATGACCTGGATGACTGAGAATCTTCATAGTACAGATGCTGATATTATCCTTAGACATAGTGCAGAGAATTAGGTACAAAACTGATCTTACCTGACACTCAGTCATTGTCTCTTCTTTCTTAGATTCTGATTTCTTCTCTAAAGTTTCCCCAGGAAACAGTGACTCCAGTAAAGGACCTTCAGGCATTTCTTCTTCCTTCTTTAGAGAGGATTTATAATCTATATAAACATGCAATTACAGTTAGAATCATTAATAAAATGCCCATACACTCATGTTATTTATGTCCAAAGAAAGCACAATTGAGATTTATGATTAATTAAAATGTGTTGTGTTGTTGTGTGTTTTGGTGAAAAGGGAGTTCCCGCTATGTCCCAAACTTTTATATTTATATATATATATATATATATAGTACATAAACAAACACATACACTCCAACAGCAAAGCCCATCCCACCTCAATGTTCTCATACATATTAGTTGGCACAAGGCCCGACAGTATTTTTTCTGAAATAATTTCTGACAACACCACATCCATCTAGTTAAACGTGTGTGTCTATTAATAATAAGGACAATTATGACAAGTGTGTTAATTGGGAGGCAAGGGAAGTGCAGAATGGACAAAAAAAATTTGTTGTTGTTTTTTTAATGTAAGAAAGCATTGTTGCATATACCAGCCACTACAATTCTTCTTACCAATTTTAAAATCAATAGGTACAAACTGTGGGACCTCCAAGATGTTTAGGCGTTTCTTCTTGTGCCAGCAGCGAGCAGGATATGTGTATAACTGACCTGGTTCATGGCCTGCAACAGAAAGAAATGTAACACATAATTCCATCTCATATGTCTATAAATACTCATAAATAAACATAGAGACTAGTAGTCTGTTTGCTTTATATTATATCGGTTTTGACCTAATTATTTTACAATGATATGAATTTCACACTGGAGTCTGTCGGTTCTCACAGCGTTTTGCATCACGTGTATATGTGCAATATCATAATTTCCGAAAATATATAAATACTGTATGTCAAACAATGATATACTGTAAGCACAAGAACTGTTGAGGAATATTTATTTAATTGTTTTCATCATGTTATGATAATTCAGACGCCATTATATCGCTTTGTGAATGTCCTGACACTGAGAGAGACTGAACAATGGAGCTCAGCTTCGTGGACACGAATAGACTATAAACTACAAACGTTTACTCTTAAACACCAACGAGAAGTCCACTTTACGAAAATAAAATAAAACACAGATCCAGACGGGTGCAAAACCGAAAAAAACTTGAAAAATAAAGCACGTGCCTGCAATTAATGAAATGATTATCAGACTTCAACACTGAAAATGCCAATTCTGATACATTCAAATAGCCAAAACAGACGGAGCAACCTACCACAGCGGTAAGTTAGCTTACCGTTTTAGGTGATTTGCCATGTTTGGATTCGAGCTTTGAGATGCAAACTGTTGCTTGCAAACTTTTTTAATTATCTATTTTTGTAAATTGCTGTCACACTGTTGATATCTTTGACATAGTAGAGTAAGACTGACTAAACGAAACCCTCAAAATTAATTAAACATTCAGCAAACCAACGGACCTTGGGTTTCTAGAAAGTTCTTCAATCTATCTGTGGGTTGGGCTAATCCAAAATAGTGAAAACAAGAGGGGTGTTCAGAAGATTGTTACAGGTGAAACAGAGTGCTCTGAAAACCTCATTAGCACTTGGTATTTTCCTCCTGATTTAATTAACCATATACAGTAGTGTATACATTTGTATATATACATATAAATGAAAAAAAAAATCGATCAGATTTAAGCCAGAACGTATAAACAAATAAATCTCTTAGTCAACTGGTAGATTACAGCCCTAATTGCCACAGCATGGGGGGCATTGGCAAAGCTCACTCTCACTGTTTGCCCCAGCTCCCTGACAGAACAAATAATAAAAAAAATCACACACACACAAATGCATACACACACCTTGTCCACGGTGATTCTGCCTCATCCAGATGTAACAGTTGCTTTGAGCCACACCTGTCTGAGAGTCCAGAAAGGGTAGACGCATGGAGCGCTCTGCACACAGACGGGCATTATAACTGCGACATTGTTCAATTGCCTCCTTATAAAAGTTTTCACCAAAGCTGAGGAAAGAAAAGAGGCATGTGACCAGGTTATGGATTAGAAGGAAAAGATAAGTAGGACAGTAATTTGCTACTTGTGTCTTCCTTGCCTCATCCATCCTCACTCTTACCTGGTGACTGCACCTGCAGATTGTCTGTAAGAATGGAGAAAAACTAAAATAAATAACTGGTAACTGCCTGTCTTAATGTATGTGTTTTTTCCATCAGTATAAAAGGTCTCTTAGTAGGAGACTTTTACAAAGTGGAACGCATAAAATTGGTTACATCGCAGAAAAATAGAAATAAATAAAACAGAAAATAAAACATAAACAACACTATAAGAAGAGGAAACATCTGAGATTCCAATATAACAGAGCAGACAGCCAGATCAAGAAAAATATATTTCTTTTCTGGTTCAGATTAAGTAAAGTTATGGAATATTATTATGTAACCATGCACAAAGATATTACCAAAATGAAATGGAAATTTTAAATGGAAGGGACTATACACCAAAAACCTTTTAACAAACAATGTAAAAAAGTTTGAACTTTACACACACTATCTTGCAGCAGTGGTTGCCAGAGTTAACATAAAAATTGTGATGTAATAATAATAATAAACAATATGATGTAACATTTTTACTTGAAATATCTGTCGATGAGTAATGGTTTTCTGGTTCTGGTTTACTTGAAATATCTGTCGATGAGTAAGTAACTGTTATTAGTTGCTGTTATTACACAGTCATTTTGTAAGATTTGTTCTTTAAAAGTGACCATTTTTAATATTTTCCTTATAAAACAACAGTAACAATGTACATGGTTAATGTAGACAGACCCCCCCCTAAAAAATAAAACTAACACAGTAGAAGTGGTTGACATATAAAAAGTTTATTTATTATAAATTTGATTTACAATTTACACAGTTACATCAATAAACATCTCATAACAACAAACAGTTACATTTAGGTTGGATCACTAACAACAACTGTTACTATAAAATTAGATACAAGAACAACAGCCTAACACCACTAATTGTTCAAAAGTGCTTTCTGAAGGCACTGTTGTGCTGTGCTTTTACCTTTAATTGATCAGTACTTTGTTAATGACCTTTCAAAGGGTCTAACAACATGTATTAAAATGTCCAAAAGTGATGCCTTACTTGGGTCTGCCTTTACCTGCTGGGGGTTTTCATGGGATATTTTATACCCACAAAATGTTACCAAGGTTCATCGCTGGACCAGGTTGCTCTCCATGTTCCCGTCTGTAGCCACAAGACAGAAACAAACCTCAAGTTAAATCAGTGAAAAGTTGTTGTACATTGTGTCCTGTTTTTTCATACCTTTACCAATAACATCACAATTACGAGATATTTTGTAAAGAAGTTTTACTCTACTAACTATGTTTCTAAAACTTTATCAACTGCAAAGCACTGACACTGACACACATTTAAATTATAATAACTCAGTAGTAAAAGTTAGTTTAAAAACCAAAAAAACTACAGAAAACTTGCATCAACTCACAGTAGAAATTACGACGAAGGGCAGGGTACAAAGCTCTTGCTTCTTAAGTCTGAAGTTCATGGATCCAGCTCAGTGTTGCAGGCGCTAAAACCTGAAGCTGATTGGGACATCACAGTTTCAAATTCAAAAGACATGGCACTGAGGAAAATGTCTGGGTGAAAGTGAAATTTAAAAAGAAAGTTTAGAAAGTTTAGTTTTAGCCAGTGGATCTTTCAAATCCACAAATCACAAGCTGAACTTTTAGTCTCTACTTAAAACTAAACCTAAGGAATTAAGGTTTATTCATGCTCAGAGGTGAAAGGTTACACACCATAGAAATAATATAGGTTAATAGGTTTTAAATATGTTTCATGAAAGTTATTTATTATTAAGTATTTATAAGAACAATATTGTTTGTTTCATAAACTTGAAGACTCCACAACCACTGCTGTCCTTTTTTAAATGTAAAGTTACCGCTTGGCAGCTGTGACTGCGTTTTAAATTCTGTGCAAAAAGATGAAGCGCTTTAATTAAGTAGTGAATTTAAAAGTGCATGGGTTTTATTTTTTTTAATTCTTTTTTTTCTGGCATCAAATAAGTTACTGAACTCTTTTGCTTGATAAACATAAATTAAAATAAAATGAAATCAGAAATAGTAAAATAAACATTAGAAATAAATAAAAAATAAATAAAATAGTAATAATAAAAGCAGACTGTGTCATATTTAGGGTGCAACCGGTGTCCACAGATCCCCACTTGTCTTAAGAACTGGCTGGCTATAGTAGTTAAACAAGTCGTTTCACACTTTTCGAGATAGACAGATACTTTATTGATACTTTACTGATCACAAAGGGAAATTAAGGAATATGAAATGAGAAAATATGACGATGACCACAGTCCTCTGCAGCCAGGGCCAGGTCTTCCACCAAAGCCACAAACTCTGCCCAGCGTGCCTGGTGATCCCCCAGTTCCCTTGGCCACTTCCACCTCACAAAATGGGGTATCATGGGGTATCTTTCAGCACAGGTATATATGCAGGTCTGCCACTGTAGGAGTTCAGCATCTATTCCATTACATTTTACTAATGGAAATAAGCCATTTGTCAATTGCTATTATTTTACTTTCTAGGAAAACTTTACCCCCAGGGATCAATACAGTAATTCTGATTCAGTCCTGAGGGAGGTGGTCTACAGACTGTCAGGGTGGTGAACCCCCCCAACAATCTCCCCCTGAACATCAACAGATGACTACAGCAATCATCTTTAAAGCAAGTTTGATACATCAGCGAGGACTGTCACCTCCACTACAGTAGTAAAGAATGTCAGAGAACATTCGAACCAACCGTATGTCTGGTTTAAGAGCTGCTCATTAAGAAGCCACACTTTGTCATATTCTGGGTTAAAACTGAATTGTTCTTCATTTTAAAACCAGTTTGAGCTAGCATGGGATGGATGAGGGGACTGAGAGCCTGAGAGTGAGTGAGTGACACTTTTATAAGAGAGACACTGCCATTCCGTTGTATGTTGAACATGCGATGACAATACAGTAAAAGCATCAGTGTTTCTGTGTCGCGCCGACTGTCCTGTGACAATGGAAACAAAACAGGTTCCTGCGGAATTTCTTTCTCGATCCTACACGATGTCCAATGTATGAACGTCTTTGTTCATTGAAACCAACATATAAGGCCACGAAAACTGTCCGTGAACCAACACACCATCAACACTCCCTTATATTTAAACCTGACTTTACTGAAAGACTGCTGTACATCCCCCGACATCGTCTCTGCTCAGCGCTGTCCAGTGCATGTCCAGGTACATGAGCAGATGTGTGATGTTCTACAAGCACGAACAACTACCACAATCAAACACGTCGTACTCACGGTTTGATGGGGTTCTGCACCGCTGTGGCCATGTATTACAGCGCGGTAGAATGCAACGCTGCAGAGCCCGTCGGTCTACATGCACTGTAGCTGCAGCAATTCCAATTGTATTCATTCACCAGGGCTGCGGCTGTGATCCACACAGTGGTGGGTGGACACGCGCCCTAAAGGCTTTCGGGTAATGTGGTTTGTTTTAAGACGTCAACGTGAGAACTAAATAAAAACCTTTATTACAAAAAACTCACTATTTATAGAAAGTATCTTGTCCCTTCTTTTATATTAAAGTTATAGTTAAAAAAATAAATTGAAAACTGTCCAGAAAACCTCGTCTGAGGTCAGAATTAGCAAAACAAAAATGTAAAAAAAAAAACAAAAAAAACCTAAAGGCTATCCTTGATATAAGTCACTGAGACTTAAAACCTGGAAATTCTGAGCAGTTAGTAAGAAATTAGAAACTAGGAAATACGTGGATGAATGAAAACCTTCACAGATATTTCTCTCATTTTAATAAACTTTCAAAAATGATTATTTCTTCAATTTCCACCAAAATAAATGAATTTAATACATGTGTTAGACAGATGAAGAAACACGCTTATATCCGGCTCTTCCTACTGGAAGTACATTGCAAATGCTTTCGGTAGGAGCATCAGCAATAAAAACATTTCTTTAAAGCTAGTGAACAGTTTATTCCTAAAATAATCGTCAACAACCGACTTAACGTTTCCTGTTACCGGATGTAGTTTTCAACAGGGGGGACTACCGGAAAAGATGACTGTGATGTCATTAAAATATAGAACTTTAGTCGGTGTATAGGAAAGTGAACTCCACACAACTAAATGTGACCTCTGCTTTTATCCCATCACCAATAAGTAAACACTGTTGTTGTAACTGTCAGCTGTGGTTTGCAAGAACGACACAAAACAATTCTAAATCAATAAAACATTTCTAGCCCTGATAATCTATATTAAATGATTACTTCATCTTTAGTTTTTAGACTGTTTCACATTAATTGTCTAATGGACTAAGAATCTAGCTTTAAACAGAGAGCCATTTGAAATAGTTATAATTTACATACAATTCCCTAAGACCAAATAAGGGAGAATAAATATACACACTTAAACTATTTACATCCTGTCAGTGACAACAGCTCTTCACACTTAATTTGAACTAAAGAAAAAAACAACACGACAGTTTTTTATACACGGGGCTTATAACTTCCCAACAAAACTGTTTTTTTTTTTTACATTTTGTAATATGACATTCCATATTTTTACATGGAAAGTTGTGACTATATATTTTATATTTATAAAAAATACACATGGAGCAACAGAAAGGACAAAAATGACACCTTAGATAACTTCCTGGACATCGGTCTTGAATTTAGAGACGTTGGCATTCACACGGTCTCTTCTCCAGGAGAAGACTCCCACTGTGATGACCATGAGGGGCAGAACCACACACAGAACAACACGACTGATGGGCAGCTGGACAGGACAGTCTCTCTGAGGAGGGGGACCCACACTCACACCTTCTTCATGGAACAAGAAGGCGGACGTAAACTCCTTTATGATGGACACGCCGTTTTCTGCGGTTTTCACTTGACATCTCCACTTCCTGTTGTTGTCCTCCTTTTTGAGTTGAATTACCAAAGTGATGTTGCAGGGTGTAGGGTCAGTCAATTTGTACCTGCATGAAATCATCAGAAATAATCAGTCAGTAAGGAACACATGTTGAAGAATCTCCCCAGTGGAAGGACGCCCAAAGTGGAATATAACCCAGAATGGAGCGTTCTACTTCTTTAATAACACAAAACAAATCCATACCAATGTATAAATACATTAAATGAGCAACCAATGAGCACCTTGGTGGCTTAAAGATGTTTTTTTTTTGTTTCAAAACGAACATTCTTAGTTTCAGTAATGACCAGCATGAACTTATTATATTAAATGATTTATTGTATTTATTATTAATTATGTTAATTATATCCTATCAGGATTACGTGTTTACTCACGGCTTCAATACATGGACTGTTCTAAAGTTTTAACTTTTTAAATTTTTCCTTGGTTTTGTGTAAACAAATATTTAGTGTCTGTTTAATAAGTAATAAGTTAAGACCTGTCGTCAGCGGGCAGCTCAGCTCCGTCCTCCATAGCCCAGTAAAGTCTGAAATTTCTAGAATGGTTTCTGGCACAGTTTCCGGCGTCGTAGTAGGTGAACAGGACGCAGCTGAGGACCAGAGTTCCACTGGGCCGCAGCTCAGAGATTTGAGAAACAGAAGTCATGGAGAGGAGAGAGAGGAACACATTACTAGTGGATTTTGTCTTAGTGAGGCAAGTGTAGGTGCCGACGTCTTCCAGCATGAGGTCACGAAAGACGAGGGAACAGTTGGACAAGAGGGACATGCGACTTGCTTTCTTCCCCGACAGCTGCCCGTCCCTGACCTCGTAGCTGTGAATACGGCCTCCGAAGAATGTCCAGGAGACTTGAGAACATCCTGGGCCCTCAGGAGGTGAACAAGGCAGCAGGACATCACTGCCAACTGCACTGAAAATAAAGACTGCATCACGTTCACAGCAAACCCCTGGAAATACAACACAACTCGGTCAGACACAAAATCAAACTATTTTGACATGCAATACTGTAGAAATTTAAATGTTCAGAAAACCTCCTTTTAAATTCACATTAATCCAATGATATTTAGGAAATAATGAAATACACCAATGTAAAGGTGTATGTTTTAGATTTGACTGTATTTCTGATTGATACATGTGTTTGTTTGTTCAGATGCTTCATCTTTTTATATTTGATACTTTATACCATTTAAATCCAGCAGAGTTCATTAAGGTCAAATGAATTCAAACGTTATTTCTGAGGCTCTTGGTCCACTTACCTGTGAGCTGTAGACAGATGAGCAGCAGAACTCCTCCTTGGACGTTTCTGTCCTTCATGTTTGGTTCATCTGCAGCTTATGTTTGTGTGTCTGGCCGTTCTCTCACTCACCTTACTTCACTTCCTCAATCTGTGTGTCAAGTGAATGCGTGTGTCATCTTGAAGTATCATTTTCATTTCTCCGAATAAGAAAAGTTATTACTTTAACTCTCAAAATTGACTCCGTCCACGTTTGACAGAAAAAAGTGTGTGTAATGAGATTTAAAAAAAAAAGTAAATCAATTATTTCATCTTCATATTTCCTTTGTTTTTATCAATGTTTCTCCATGGAATTATTTGAAAAACTTTAATCACATCTCAATGACTTTAGAGAATTTAACCCATTTTAAACATGATGTGTAATACATCAAACACTTGTTTACACAGTGTATTTACACAGACTGGTAACAAACATTGCTTATTTGACAAAAGGAAGTGTGAAGGATCCACCTATGCGGGGCCAACTCTTCTAAGAATGTGATGACTCTTAGTTTTGTACCTGCTTTCTTCATTCTTTCCTGTGTTTGAAGTGTGAAAAAAAAAGGTATACTTCAGTGCTGTTCTTCACAGTTGTAGTTTACCTCTAATTTTCAGTCAGACATACATTTTCAAACACATGAGATTCTGTATGGGCTCATTTGTTTGAAAATGTACCGATGATCTAATCAATAAGCAGCTTAGCAGGTGACAAGATCAACAATAAAATGGACATAGAGCAAATACTCAGCTTGGATCAAATACATTGTTTAAAGACCTAAATCAAACAGGGACAGCCCCTGAGTCTACAGTTAAATGTGTTTCACTTCTCTGTAACACACTCGTCCCCACTGCTGTTGGAGTTGGAGACCAGGAAACGACGTGATGTAACCCATGCTCCCTCACTTCCTCGGTGGTTAACACAGCATTTTATGCTGACACTATATGTTTTTGGATTTCTCTGCTGTTGCTACTGTGTGTAGCAACATTTCCACTGAGGTGATACTGAAGACTGAAGTACTGCAGTAATAAGAGAAGCTACTGTTAAACTATTCACCAGTGAAAATCTTCCTCTGGATGGGAAGTTTTTAGTTAATGATTTTGGAATTCATTGATATGATGAGGTGTATAGTTACAGGCTTTGTTAGTAAACCATTCATTGAGACTGGGACATCAAAATCCAATAAGAATAGTATTAGAATATTTTATTATACATTATAATTATAATATTACAATTTTGTTATATGTTAATGACTAAACATGGCAGTTCTGCTGTAAATATTTTATTCTTATAAATGTTCAACATCTTTGAAAGCACCATACAGTCAAAATATCCTGATTTTTTCCTCATATTTTTAATTATTCATTTAATTATTTACTCAATATGTCTTATATGCTTTTATTATGTGATTCAAATTTATCATTGATCTGAGAGAATATAATCTGAAATGTTTCTTGTCCTAAAATGTTTGTCAAAGATGAGCTACGTATATTTACTACATCTGTTGATGTGTTTCCCTACTTCATTTCTTGGTGTGTTGGAAACTTCAGCTCATTCGATCACCACCAGCTGAAACTGACTTCATAGAAGAAATCGTAGCTCTTGGACAGAAAACTCTTCTCCCTGATGTGAGGCTGGATGTCCACCTTGTAGCCCTGACTCTCAATGTCCATCTTAACACAGTCCAGGAGGTCTCGGACAGAGACGGCAGCCTTCCAGGGACCAAAGGTCACCACCGACTCCTTCTCAGCATCCAGGCTGTTGATGGCATCTTCGTACAAACTCAGATCCTCCTCTCTCCTCAGCACACAGATCATGACAGTAGAGCGACGAACGGCAATGGCCTCAGCTCGGGCAACACGAACCAGAACCTTGTATGACAAGAAAATGACTTGGTTCATCAACAGACATAGAACAAACTGTGAAATCCTCTGTTTATCATCAGTAGGCGTCAGTAAACTAAAGGTTGTCACCAGTTTCATAGATAGAGCCAAACAAAGGAGCTGCTGCTCCATTAACTAAAGAAAACCACTTTGGTTTTACAGAACATTTAAGATACAATTGATTCCAGGTTCACAACACTTTGGATACAGCTTGGATCAAAGATAGTTTTCCACCCCCACCAACAGGACAGATAAGGAGTTTTCCCACAGGCAGATGAAAACTAAATATTTGTACAGATACTACATGTTTAACTGAAGGGAACGCCCAAGGGATTAATACTGTTCTTTCTTTCTATCTATCTATCTGTCTATCCGTCTATCTATCAAAGAGACAAGATTTGGAAATCTTTAATTCTCTATACACTGGGTGACAATTGTACACCATACAACAACTGTTGTGTGTTGTGTTCAAAGATGTCCTCCGGTGTGTGTCCCCTCACCTCAATGTTTTCTCTGTAGTGTGGGACCCTGGAGAGGAACTGCTGTCGACCCACCAACTCTCCAAACATCGGAGGGGTTTCCTCCAGTTGTTTGATGAGAGGTTTGATGTTATAATAAACTGCTTCTCTGTGAATCTGTGTCAAATAAGAGTGAAAAAACATCACTTTTATGAGGAAGAACATTCATGAAGTAATGTACAAACGTGATCCACGGAACACGAACCTCCTGGATGTTCTCTGATGGCAGCCTCTCTGATCTCAAAAACTCCAGAACGGCTCCAAAATTGGAGCCATCTCTATCGATGAAATAGCGCCCCTGTGTGTCGGCGCAGGGTTTGCGTTCTCCACTGAAGAGCTCTGCTAGTTTGGAGCTGGGATGTTTCCTGAGTGTGTTCAGAGAAGTGCAGAACAAGTGACCGCCGACATTTAACTGCACCACAGTAGAAATCTGACAAAAAGAAAAGCATCGTTGATTCACCTTCAGACTGTGTAAAAAATGTTACGTAACTGTTATGAGAAACAGGTGACTACTACTACTACTTAATCTGACATGAGTTATCACCTCTACATTTTTGTTACGCGCAGACCAAAAGTTTTTAATTTTTAAAAAATAAAAATAAAAATACAAACACACAAACTGAAAAGGAAGGAAGTGAAAATAAGTTAAAATCTAGTAAAACAGTGGAAACGTTCGCACATTGATCGTTCTTGACGGTTCTAGGGTTTTCTTTTCTAGCAGGAATAAACTTTACCTCCGTCTTGATGCTCTTCCACCCCCTAAATATGTATGTGGAACAAAGTGTGTGTGAGTTTTCTCCTTACCGGAGCGGTGGCCGCAGGTTTGTTGGATTTAACATCCGGTAAGCTCATTTTTCTTCTGCGGTTTCCAACAGGTGAAAAGATGGTGGAATGCTAATGGTGGGTGTGGCTTAACCCGGAGCTGGCTATGTAGTGTTGACGAGGATCAAAAAAATATAAAACAAACGAAAACTGCAGTCTAAACAGAAATAGACTCTATAAAAGGAAAAACAAATTGAAACAATGAACCGTCATATATTGCTCATTTTACAGGATTCACCCACTGAATGCACCTTGACGAACAGTCTGCTTTTCGGTAAAACAAGTTTAAAGGCGCACTGCACCTGCTTCTTCCCTTCCTAGCTGACAGCCACTTCACATTTTTCTTAACCCCCCCCCCCAAAAAAAACTTGTATTTGCATTAAAATACCCCAAAATATAAACCAACGTTATTTTAAAGGGTGCCCTTTAAAATATTAAAAATTTTGAACGCACTATGCTATTCATAATAAGTCATACAGATCTTCAACCAGTTTCACATGGTCATTGGACACATCTCATTCAATACTTTGTGGAATCAAATGAAAATATGAACACATTGAATAAGGACGCCAGGTCAAAAGTAATTTTTCAGATTTTATTGTTTTTGTACACAAAACATGGGGTTGTTCTTCCGTCCTTTGAAAACCTGGAAAACAAAAATGAAATGACTTAAAACTACAGTAACATATTTCACTAACAGTAGACATTTCATTATATCAAGACAAGTAATATTTAATCCCATCCCATCTATCATAACAAAAAACAGTGTTTTAGTGGAGCAGCTGAAAGTTTGACCTTTTAGTCCAATTAAGACATTTGTTGGTTAAAATGGAGGATTTACTTAAGACTTGTGATGAAGTATTTTGTTGCTGCATAAAAACACAATGTGTCATCTATATTTGTCAATCCATGAAACTGAAACAGGGGACAGAACAAGGAGTTTTTGGTTCATTCCATGATTTGAACTGACAATCATCCAATCACAAACTCTGTCCTCTGACCCTAAGCTGCCCCAAAAGTATAATTCAAGACCTTCTCAGACAAATGCCTCGATGTCTTCACATGAAACACTCACTTCTCTGAAGGAACTGGAGCAAAATTCACAGAACGTGAACCTTGAACCAGAGACCAGCAGAGTCAGAGAGCAGTTCTGACTCGTCATCGATCATCACTGAAGGTATTTTGATTTTAGACTTATTCCTACTAGATAACAGTAGGAGTCATTTCAATCAATGTCCTGATTAAATGCTTTTGAAGGTTCAAACTTCTCTACAGATCATAACAATAAAAACCACTGTCACCATCACTTACCCTCTTACGCAGTGGGCACAGGGGCACCCTGGGGCATAACGGGCACCTCTGGCTTGGCTCCCTTCTGCTCAGACATGGGTGTGGTGGGCAGGTTCTCTTCCTTGGGCTCAACAATGCTGACATGGTCAGGGAGAGGCTTCTTGGGGCCAATCTTACCACTTGGGTCCCAGGGCAGCATGATCTTGACCTTGATACCCAGTACACCTAAAGATGGTCAAATACACATCATGTGTAAACACGTAACCAATAAATCTTCGTTGGTAAAATCTGACAATGTGTTGCTGAATGCTTTGAAACTCTTGAAATCAACAACGACCCCAAAGCTTCTTCTGTCCTGGTCTAGTCGTCACCCACCTTGCCTCAGCAGGACGTGACGGACTGCTGTGTCGACATAGTAGTTGACAGGATCTCCACTGTGGATCATCAGGCCGTCCACGAATTTCATAGACTTGGCTCTCTGACCCCTCAGCTTACCAGACACAACCACCTCACAGCCCTTGGCACCGCTCTCCATGATGAACCTCAGGACACCATAACAAGCCCTGAAACAAAATTAAAACTGCATTATATCCCATTTCATTTATAAACTTGCGTAGAAGTCTTAAACCTCTTGTATTTTTTTCCGACTTGGCTAAACAAATATGTATATTTAAATTACTGTTCAAATATGTAAGAAAATGCAAAACACAGAGGAAAATTAACAGTTTCAAATATCATGAAAGTAATATATGGGTAAGTTATATATTTTTAGCAAACATTTTTGATTTGAATTACAAAAAGCAACAGCATTAAGTAGTTGTCATGGCAATACAATCAAGATTTCAATTAATAATGAAAGACAGACACAAAGACATGTAAAAGCCACAAACAAATTTTTGACAGAATGAAAAAAGTTCAGAATACACTGAAACAAACAAAGTCCACTTTCAACTGTGTAACAGCTGGAGCAGTTGAAACTGCAGCCAATTTTATTTGAAAGGCTTTTATTATGTTTGACTAAAGAGTGGAGACCAAGTGTGTGTGTGTGTGCTTCAACCTTCTCAGACAAATGCCTCTATGTCTTCAACTGAAATGGACTCGCTTGCTCTGAGGAAATGGAGCCGAACCACAGAACGTGGGTCTGAACCAGGAACCAGCAGAGCTAGACTGAGTCCTGTTCTGACTCGTCATCGATCATCACTGAAGGTTGAAGGACACAAACGCTTTCCTGTAGAGGGCAGCTGTGTTTTTGTTGTCAATGAGAATGAATTTGACTCACTGGTAACTTAAACCCTCATGTGTACGTTTTATACCTTAAAAATTTGCTAAAGAATGTCCTTGGCGAATGTTGGTGCAGCCGTTTACCTCCTCACAGCCAGGCCTCCCAGTAACTTGTAGCGCAGAGACTCTGCCTGAGCGATGGCACACAGACCACGAGTTGCAACTTTCTCAGCGTAGAGCTACATGTGGAGAAAGGAAAATAAATTATAAAGTAAGAATACAGTAAAGAAAATCCACTTGAACCCAAATGATGCATCTTACTGGTTTACATTAGTTGATCAGTACATTGTTTAGCAAACCAGAAATATTGTTTTCAACCACTGCTGCTTTGATTTCTTTCACTCTTTCATAAAGACATTTATTTCCAGGTTAACTGTTCAGGACTATACCTTTAGGTTCTGCATCCTAAAATGTGGACTGCTGGTGACTGAACACTGACAATGTAATAGAATTAAAATATATGGAACAACCACGGTGTCATTCCCAGTTAACTCTTTGACCCTTCTCAGACAAATGCCTCAGTGTCTTCACATGAGAAGCACCCACGGCTCTGAAGGACTGAAACAGGACCACAGAACATGGACCTGAACCAGATTCCAGCAGAGTCCAAGTGAGCACTGTTCTGTCTCGTCATCATTTCTTCACTGAAGGGAAAACAGTTTTGCTATTTAATTTTATTAAACATTAAAATAACTTAAAACCGAAATAACCCAAAATGCAATTTACAATAGTGTCCTTATTATGCACCAATGTTTTCACAAGTCATAATGTCCTCACCTCCACACTGCCTTCAGGAAAACCAAACCTCTTCTGGACCACAGCGGTCAGCTCTCTGATGCGTCGACCCTTCTCTCCCAAAACATTTTGGGTCCTGCAGACAAACATAGCACACATTACATTATGTACATTACATTATGTTCCGCAAGACAACCCAATGTAACAACAATAAAACACACATGGTGCTGGTATGTCTTAGGTTAGATGCTCTGTAGACAGACTACAACTATAGGCAACTATACTGCACTGACACCGCATTTCAATGTGTGTGGAATTTTGCTAGACATCAGCATTGTAAAGAATGTGACAATATGTCTATCCAGTGTAAGGTATTACAAACATTGGAAAATAGAAATTAGAAAACATTGGACAGTTAAACAATGTACACATACCTTGTGGCCAGAATAATGATCTCAGTCCTGGTAGGTGTCACACGCACCTCCACGCCAGAGTAACCATCCTCAGCAAGCTCGCGAGTCAGGAACTCGTTCAGCTCGGCCTTGAAGATACCATCCGAGACGAACTAGAGAGTAGAGAGTTATATTAATCACTTCATTCAGCATGTTGTCTTTAACAGACTGCTCCATCAACCTAGCATCTATTGATTTACCACCATCTCTTGACAAATATTTCTTCACATCTTTGCATTGCCATATAATTTCGGTATGTATTCATTCTTGGCTGTTCACCGGATATGATGGGTTCTATTCCTGTCCATCCCAGCCATACAAATTCTACAACTAAGAATTGGGCAGTGATAACCACAGTTTAGGTTGTTCAGTAAATACCGATCACATTTTAACAAAATACTCAATGGAATATAGTAGGAGGGAAAATTTGTACCAAGTCAGTCAGTTAATTGTAATAACGCATCGCCCTGCATCAATGCAACGTTTATCTTCAAACAAATCAAAGATCTTAACTGTCTATAGAAATACTTTCAACTTTACATTTAGTGCATTCAGTTTGGATACCACTTCGACCTATTGAAGTCTTTTTCGGACTGAACATGAGATAGTTCCTGCTAGTTCAGTTAGCATAACTGTATGCAGAGTGGAAAGGCAATGCTAGGTCACTAGATACGTTTTACTGAGACCATTTCCTCATTTTAAAACACCAGCAACATTAGTCCACAGTTAGATCTTTGATATATTTATAACGGACCACCATTAACGTTAAAACCGGGGACCAAGGCACTTTGTCGGATAATCACGGTTGTGGCCGCGGAGTACAGAGCCATGTTAGTTAGCCATATGAACCGGTAGCATCTGAAATAATCCTCCTTAGACAGGGCGTACAAAAGTTCAACGAACACAAGGGTGAATACAAAATCTCCTCATTAACACAGACGAACGGACATTTCTATCGATAAATGCTTTATTAGTGTGTCATTTGAGCGCTAACCTTCCTCTTCTTGGAGATTTGCACCGCCATCTTCCGAAAGGCCGTAGACAGGAAAGGACCGTCAGTTAAGGCGGAAATGCTTTTATACTAAAATACAAACTTCCGGTGACGAGGCATCAGGCTGCTGCTGGGATTAGTAGTATTTTCACGCCTAATCATACTGGCGTCTACTCGAGTCTTCTTCCTACTTCCGTCCGAAAACATAAGAAAAGTAGAATTGATTAGGAGGACTCGGTTATGATAATATAAAAATTCCAGCATGCAAATAGTGATAAAAAAAACATTAAGTGAAATGATTGACATGTTAACACGACGACACACCCACGGGCCATATTAATATGGTGCAAACTGTACAACTTAAAATCAAACGTTTTAAATATTACTGCATTTGTTTTCTGATATTTTAAATAAGAATGTGTTGTGTCTCGTTTAAGGTCCATGGGTGTATTTCCTTAATATTCCACTAGATGACGGTAGCAATTTATATCTACATTTACTAATACGGCCACAGTTTTTAGGATTGTGAGAACATTATTTTATTTTTTATTTAACAAAGAATTGTAGTTGTTGTGTGACCATTTTCCAAACTCTTTCAGAAAAACATTAATTTAATTGAAATTCACTTTTTCTTCTCCATTGATGTCTCAAACGCATGTTGCCACCCTTGCTTTACACCATTAACAACAATTCATTCACTCTGATGGAGCATTTCCTGCTAGAGTTAAAAAACACTTGTTTCACCAATCTCTTCTAAACAAAAAACCCCCAAAAATAAAGAACCCAAAATCAACCGAAAAACAAACAAACAAACAAAAAACTGTGTCATGCTCACACACATACTTACAAACAGTCACGTATGCAGGCTCTCCCTCACCCTCCTCCAAGGCTGATTCCCAGTCAGCTGCATTAACATACAGATGTGGGGTTGAAAGGGGAAAGGAGGGACACAATGGGCCCAAATGACCAGGAGGGGAGGGAGAGGTCCTATTCTACACTTTTATGCATGCACATGCATGCACACAGACTATGGTGTTAGAATGGTGAGGGATTTAAGTTCTGCGTCCCTCTGCTGATACTTATTCAGCAGTCTTCAGCCTGCAGCCGCATGCCTAAACACATGCACACGCCCACAAAGAGCTGTGCAGAGTTTGAATATTTTTAATCAATAATTAAACAAAATTTATTTGTGTAAATTGTAAATTATTGCAAATTAATGAACAACAATTTAGCCAGTCAACGAAATAACTGAGAGGAAATATTTGTAGCGATAATTCTGTGTTTCTTCAGAGTCAAGTTAAAAAAAAGTTTAAAAGTAAAAAAAAAAAGCAAGAGTATGATGTAATGCAAAATAAATATTACTGGAAATATGCAAAACTTTATTATAGGAGGAAAAGAAATACACACAAGCACAAACTCTCTCTCTCACACACACACAGAGCACACAGCAACATGGGGGAGGACCACAACTTCTGCTCCACTTTGTGTGAATAGATTGAAATCAGTCACAAGTATCTCTGTCGTCCATTGTGTTGAGGTCCGTCTTTGTTTGAGCATCTGTTGCCCAAACATTCTCCTCAGTGTCGCTCACTCTAAATTAGTCTGTTGGACCAGTTGTAACAAAACTCACTCCTTTTCCCACACAACACACACAAACACAGACACAGAAGGGGGCGGGCTGAAAGGTTTGGGCAGATTGCAAGTCAGAAACAGAGTTAATCTTTGTTCTTTTTGGACCCACAGGATGGTAATATCCCAGCAACAACATTTCAAACTGATTCTCCTACAAACAATTCACTGAAAATGTTGACATTCCTTCCTGGCTTTTACTATATTTATGCTTTACCTTTTCAGTAATGTTACTCTGGGTGAAATAACAGTTGTAAAAACGAAACTCCTACAGTGGTTCTAATAGACGTACCCAGGGGTACTGCTACTGCTAAGTCTTTTGGTAAGAAGATCACATTTAAATATGGATAAAAAGCACAGTGAAACAGCCTATGAGGAGAGACATTTCTTTTTAAACCTTATTTTACCTAAACCTTATCAACGAGGTTAAAATAAGTGTTTTTTAAATTATCTTTTGTTAAATTTACTGCTCTCTATATACATTATAGATACATTCTTCATCAGCACACATGATGTTCATAGTCTGGTTATGTTAACAGTGTTAAATGCAGGCACGGTTTCAGTGAAAAATTAAAGAAGGCTAAAAAGCACAACATTTACTGTTGATCTATATGGTTATTTATCTGGGTTTATCCACTGCTATAGATTTTGAAGATGATCCACCCTTTCTGTCAGTCTTATTGTTCAGGAAATACTTTTATTTTCACATGGACATTTATTTTGAGCATGTTAACAAATATATTAAGATAAGGAGCTGAAATATCATCGTCTTCACACAAGGAATGTAAACAATAAATGCACTTAAATTACATCCAACATAAAACATATTGTCAAACACAACACAATATAAGTTTTTTCTTTAAAAAAAAAGGCAGAAATAAATAAGACAGTTTAAGTTAACTAAATTTATGAAGAACTTAATGTTTTATCTGCAACAGCAAGAAATAAGCAATCTGGCAAGAACTAAATGGTTCTCGGTGAAATTCCACACAGATTTATGCAGCAGTGAGTTACAAATTGTCTTTATCTGGCTTCCGATAGAAAAAGGTCATATTTTCTCTAGGACTGAAAGGAAAATTCCACACGAGCCTCTGGTTGAGCAGCTTCCAAAGATGTGGTTATATTGGTCCATGACATTGTCTGGAAACCCTGTTGACTTCTATGTTCTGACTACAGCATCGTTAGAAGTACATGTGATGAGGAGATGGACTCACTACTGCAGTTTTAATCATTGATTATTAGCAAAACTACTTTAACAGAGTGATTAAAAAACTTAATGAGCATTTTCTGTCAGCTCATTCCATCAGTAAGGCAACAGACTTACAGAATGCCAAAACATTTTCCTGACTGCTCCTTCTCACCTCAGCACCCGCCTCTTTAAACAACTGCGTTGTGTAATCCAAGAGGACATGTAGTAAAGCGTACGTTTTCGGACATCACAACAACAACAGAACCCCCCCCCCAAAACATAATTACATACAGCACATTATAAAAAAGCAATAAATACATCTAATGATAAAGTCCAAATTCCCAACACTGTATATTCATGGTCAGGGCTAAACACTAAAGGTTACATGTTAGCAGGACTAGCAGGTTAGGAAAACTTTAGAATCAACTTTGGTAACTACGCAGTCTGTGTGTAGCCTGGGATTGTGTTTAACTTATCAACGTGGGTCAAAGTGAGGGCCGCTGGACCAAGGTGACAGGGACTGTGTGGATGACGTAAACTGGGAAGTTGATATAAAAAAACAAACTTTCTTCTGTTAAGCTACATAAAGTTGGCAGATGTAGCTTCATAATATATATAACCAGGAGCATACAGGGTCAGAGACCTGCCCTCTGGCTTGGCTCTTTAAACAGGTATACAATGGTATACAAGAAGAGTAATAAAACTATTAAAACATTACAAAAATAAGAATAACAGAAAAGTCAGCTAAAAATGGACAAACACTGAGCAGCGATACAACTGCTAGGATGAGAAATGCAATATGCACAAAGTTAGTTACGTTTACTGGGCTGTGTTCAGGAGGGAACCGAGGAGCGGCTGTTTGAACTTTTATGACCTTCGACCTTTTAATGTCTGAATATTACAGCGTGGTCACACAGAGGTAAAACAGCAGCACCATCTGCCCCTGCATACATTCAGCCCCACAGTAAAACTTTTCCTACTCATCTGAGATAGACAAGCGGCTGAAGATGGGCAGGCGTCTGCCCTCGAAGCTTGGTGACTCTGTGCCACTAGAGGAAGAGCTGGTGGAGCAGGAGGAGGTGTAGCCCTCCTCAGAGAGAGAGTCAGCGGAGGAGCAGCGCTGCAGACCGGGCAGGCCGCTGACTGAGACCGGCAGCTGCTGGCCCAGGCCATACGGAAGTTTGAGCTTTTTGGTGGTAAAAGCAGAGGCCGGCGGTTTGGTACCGATGGAGTCCTTTACGCCGTAAAAATGCAAACCACAGTCACTACTGTCGCCTGTGAGGTCTGTGATGCCAGAAAAGTGATAGGAGCAATGCTTCAGTGGGGCAGGCTCAGGAAACAGTGGTGAGAGAAGCTCTGGGCTACCAGAGGAGGATGGAGGTGGAGAGACAGAGGGCGCTCTGGTGAAGAGGAAGGAGGAGGGCTGGGACTCCTCCACTGGATGGAACATGTGTGCAGAAGAGAACCCAGCAAAACTGAGGCTGTGACGCAGCAGAGGAGGCTTCAACTTCTGCTGCTGGGCTGATGTGCTGCTGCTGCTGCTGCTGCTGCCGCTGCCGGCGGGCAGCTCCTCACCGCTGTGGACAAAAGGACAGGGGGCGCCGCACCGGCCG